TCTATTTTCTATTTTCTATTTTCGGTATGTGTTATGATCACGGTCTGTGCACTGAATATCCCGCGGCGTAATTACTGGCAGCGCGAGCCAGTTACTATAAGTTACTATAAGTAACTGGCTCGCGCTGCCAGTAATTACGCGGCGGGATATTCAGTGCACAGACCGTGATCATAACACATACCGAAAATAGAAAATAGAAAATAGAAAATAGACATTGCATGTGAACGAAGCCTAAGTAATTGTGGATTTTTTTTAACTGAACTAGACCAATTTTTTTTTTTTTGGACAAAATTACTTTTGTGAAACAGACCCCAGGAGACCATCAGCACCCAAGGACCTACCTTCCACTACTTTGATCAAGGCTCCGTCTTTGAGACCTTCTATACTTTTGAGCTCAGAGAAGTTGTCCAGTGTGTTCCCTTCCAACTGCAGGGAGAAGCAGGTCCTGTGGCATGTGTCCTCTCTGTCCATTAGCACCTGGTTGATCTCCTGTACCAGCTCTAATGAGGTCACCTGAGGAAAAAAAGGAAAACTCATCAATAATCTAGAATGGGAATTGAGATAAAAGATTTATGTAGTTTACACTGATATGTCTACACCTCTTCCTTTCAAAATTAACCAAAAATATAACATTATCCTCATACTGTTCAGAAATCTCTAACACTCTGTCTGCTACTAGAGTTGAGAGATTAAAAAACTTATTGTTGCAATCATAGGTCTGGTTCTCTGTTTTCTTTGGGGCTATCCACATATATCGTATCACTGTGTGTTTTAAAATAGAAAAACAATTGATTTTACAATTCGTCAGAAAATGTTTTTTTTATAGATTCCATCTTCCATCTGTGTTTGTATACCATTGTGCAAGTATGCAGGAATGCACAGATTAAACTTTTCATGGACACATCTGAAATATGCAATAAAGAGTTCTATCATGTTGACCTTGGCTGGTACTTCCTGTTCACCTTGCACTTTGTCATGTATTCCCTCTGACCACTACATATCAATCTCATATATATAACTGTTTACAGTTAAGCTGTTTGTACAAGAAAGCAAAGCTAAGCCATAACTGATCAGGGCCTTGCTTTTACACATAACTGCGGTTTTTGGGGCTTGGACTGTGAAAATTGTGAACCTGAATCACTTAATGACATTTCTGTGGTACAAATCTTTAAAGTTAAAAAAACTGACAACAAATGCAGATGAAAGTCCTTAAGACTACTGTCACCTCTAAAAATTCAAACTTGGTGTCAAGACAAGAAGAACTTGGGACCCAGTTTAGTTTTTAGACCACCAAAGAGTTGCCAACAAGATTCTCTGTGAAACCCATCTTAGCCTGCTAAAATTCACTTAGGAAAAAATAGATATCTAGATAAAGTAAGTTCATCTGTGAAATAAAGCCCCATTTTAGACACAGTATCAGCAATTTTCTTTTCAATCCAACAAGCATCTGCACAGCATAAATTCCCTACAATTTACCAGTTGAATTCTTTAGCCAGTTTGGATTTGGACCTTCTAATCTCAGTGTGAACGCGGCCCTGAAGGCAGACCTGGGTTGTGTACAGTCTACCTTATCACACAGGTACACCCCCAAATCAGACCCGAGCCTCCACCTAAACACACATTGCTATCACTGGGGAAAACAGTTTACATTATAATCTAAACACTGCTCTTTGCCAGTATTTTGCACTATATGGAAAAGCATAAGCACAGATCACTACTTTAATTACCATTTGGCCAGCTGTTGCTTATTACCCCAATGCTTCAACAAACACCCATACATTTCTATTTCAAAGAGGCAAATGTTTCTTTACTCAAAATTATGCATAAAACCAATAATCTCCCTTAATGACTTCTACCAACTAGCAGGGAATGCACTGATAAACAAAGTGATGTGCAATATGAGTTACAGATTCATTTCACCCATCAGATCAGCTTTCCTATAAATAGTGGACAGCTTGTGTAACCTTCTGGCACTTGCATAGCTCCTGGTCTAGTTCCTATTTGTGAAGTGTGCACGCTGCTGGATATATTTTCTATACTAATTAATTTTCAATGGGTAGACCTATGGATTAGAAACGTTTAGTCATTGGGTTTTTTGGAAGGCAGCTAAAAATCAATCGGAAGTCCTGCTATTACTAAATTGTTTATTAAAAATGTTTGCTCTGGCCCTGAAACAAATTTTCCAAATAACCCAAAATAATAGAAAGATCAAGGTATAATTACTTAAAGGACTTCTTTTCTATCAGATGTTTTTTGTTTTGATTCAAGTCAAAAATACTTCAAGCATAAATTGGTCTGAACAGATAATTGAAAAAGTTGGATAAACTGGTTACTTTTATATATCAGTTCGTTTCTCCACAAAATGTCAAGGGTCGTTTCTTCTTTGAAGAGGCAAACATTACCAGAATTTCATACATGCATGTGGATGAATAAACATGATGACACCTTCAGATGTCCTTATTACTTTTTAATGACTCACACTTCAATTCAGTTGACACGTGTGATGCACAAGAATAAAGGTTTCAACTATGAATGCATCACAGTGTAACATTTCAATAAATTACCGGCAATTCAAAAGGCTGCTGCTGTCCTGGGGCCTGGATTTTGATACAGAAGCTGGCATCTTCAAACATGACCACAGGGGGGTTGCCATCTCCTCCCGCTCCTGGTTTCTTCTCAGTGGCTGCTGTGCTGCCATCCTCTCCATCGCCAGATCCATTCATTCCTGGCTCTGTGGGAGAATCTAAAATGAAATAAAATTCATCCATTATTTTTATACCATATTAATCAGGCACTAAAGGGGGGGGGGATGTAAGCATGTTGTTTAAGAGTTCTTGTATGGCCACATTCACAACAGCTGACTTAACAGATCTGCGAATCAAATATGGCCAACCCACTTGAATGCTTCTGGCATAATCCCAGAGGGGAATTTATTCAGCATCTATTAGGGATTATGTGGCAAGCTTTTAAGTGGGTCACCATATTTGATCCCCAAATCCACTTTTGTGAATTGTGACTTTGTCTCTCACCCCCATAACTTAGATTTCCAGACAAGGCATCTATAAAACATGTTTCATATCAAGGAATAACCCCTGCATAAAGCTGTAGGTTAATTCAAAAAGTCACACTTACACCCTCACCTCTCCTTCACAGAACATGTCTTTTTGGATATCAAGAAAAAGGTACAACATTTAATTGAAAGCAGAAATGTCAGCATTTTCTACCTGAAAATGCCAAGTGTAATCATTTTTGTTAGATTCTCAGGTAGAAATCTAATCTTTAGACTCAAGCTTTGTATAATCCAATAATCTGATCTTTAAGCAGACTGATTAAAGTAAGTAACTCAACAAGCTGGGGAAAACATGCTGATGCATTTATCACCCTGAAATGGAAGCCTAATTCTTAAAATGAGAACAAACCATGTTTCACAGGCTACAATCCATATAACACAATCAAGGTAATGTTATGCTCACCCAAGATATGATTTAAAAATCAAGCAGACTGACAATAAGGAAAGATCAATGGAAGAGAAAATGAGCGGAACTATATGTACTGATCAATATATGCTTGTACTGCAAGTAGATATGGTCTCTACAGTACAATCAATCAGTCTCTCAGTCCTCTTTATCAAAATTACATCTTTTTTTTTTCAGAAAAAATCACTTCCTCATCCTGTGTGCAAACCTACTATGGACAAATATTGGAATTAGCGTACATCAATAAAGCTATCTTTGTCACATATTCACTGACAGTTTTGAAAAAAATAAAAATAAAATCTCACTGTATCCTTATCTATGTGAGTCAACTGAAACCAATAATCTTTGATAATATTGCAACTTATCAATCGGAACCTTTTGCCAAAGGATAGCAGAGTTCAAATTCTGAGATAGGTTATGCAAAGAATCTCGCACTGTATAGACTTTCATCAATTCCTATGACTTAATAAAAGCATTACAAAGTGTATGTGTTGTGTTCGCTGGCAATCTTTTATCTAAACATAATCAACCACCATGGAAGAGATGGGCCATTGATTTGTCAATAATGCTGAGCAAATGTCTCCTCAGCTATGCACCACAATCAGAACATATTTTCAGGAGCACTTCAAAAAAACATATGGAACACCACTAGTCTGAATGCAGATTTCATCTCCCACCCCCTTTCCAAAAAGAAAACATACTGAAGAATAACATAAATCACCCAGTAGTCAGTAATATGATATGTTCCCTGGCTTAAAAGAATATCAATATGATCATGCAATTACTGACAGAGTTACATCACCACTGTTAATCTGCTTTAACCCAACATTCAAAAGAACATTTTCAAAATTCTAAAAAAATAATAATAATAATAATAAAAATAATAATTCTTCATAAAATTCACTTTTGGTAACAAGTGCACCAGATATTTTTTAAACATTCAGTCAATAATCTTTATAACAGTTTATGAGTACTAAAGTTACAAAACAAGGCATTTGAGATTTAGAACCATTATGTGAGTACCAGAGGTATAATTCAATAATGATTTAATAGGGCTCAGAATTATGTATTCAATGCAAACATACCTTTTTCACCAGCTGTCATTTGTCGCTGATCATACAAAAGCACTCAATTTACCTTCACCAGCACTGGCATAAGACACACACCCGCACGTTTTGTTACTGTTCAGCTGTTATGACCATGCAGCTGACAAAAGGTGTGTGTGCATTACCACTAAATGAATGTGTATCTCATGACTATGGAACAAGTTGCATCATATGTAAAAATGCAATATCCTGCCTTGAAAGTGTAACAAATACATGTTGCAAAACCTCTTAAGTGAAATGGAGCAAACTTTCATATCTGGGCGCGTATATTCTGTATGACCCATTTGACCTTGATATGCTTCCAAAGGTTAGGAGTTTACTAGTCCGAGAATTTCAATTAAAGCTGCATTCTCTTACGCACTGCGCTCATGACACTACTGTTTCGTCATTGAAGGCCTTATGCAATCGCAAATTTCAGGTAGTGTATTACCTACACTGCCCGACAAGCCCCTTCAGTTGAAGCATTAATAAACATTGTGCTTACAAGCCATTCGAAATTAGTTCTGGGCGATTACTCAATAACAGATAAAACACAAAATTTCAAAGATTANTGGTGGTACTAATTACTTAAAGGACTTCTTTTCTATCAGATGTTTTTTGTTTTGATTCAAGTCCAAAATACTTCAAGCATAAATTGGTCTGAACAGATAATTGAAAAAATTGGATAAACTGGTTACTTTTATATATCAGTTTGTTTCTCCACAAAATGCCAAGGGTCGTTTCTTCTTTGAAGAGACAAACAGTACCAGAATTTCATACATGCATGTGGATGAATAAACATGATGACACCTTCAGATGTCCTTATTACTTTTTAATGACTCACACTTCAATTCAGTTGACACGTGTGATGCACAAGAATAAAGGTTTCAACTATGAATGCATCACAGTGTAACATTTCAATAAATTACCGGCAATTCAAAAGGCTGCTGCTGTCCTGGGGCCTGGATTTTGATACAGAAGCTGGCATCTTCAAACATGACCACAGGGGGGTTGCCATCTCCTCCCGCTCCTGGTTTCTTCTCAGTGGCAGCTGTGCTGCCATCCTCTCCATCGCCAGATCCATTCATTCCTGGCTCTGTGGGAGAATCTAAAACGAAATAAAATTCATCCATTATTTTTATACCATATTAATCAGGCACTAAGAGGGGGAGGGGGGGGGGAATGTAAGCATGTTGTTTAAGAGTTCTTGTATGGCCACATTCACAACAGCTGACTTAACAGATCTGCGAATCAAATATGGCCAACCCACTTGAATGCTTCTGACATAATCCCAGAGGGGAATTTATTCAGCATCTATTAGGGATTATGTGGCAAGCTTTTAAGTGGGTCACCATATTTGATCCCCAGATCCACTTTGGTGAATTGTGACTTTGTCTCTCACCCCCATAACTTAGATTTCCAGACAAGGCATCTATAAAACATGTTTCATATCAAGGAATAACCCCTGCATAAAACTGTAGGTTAATTCAAAAGTCACACTTACACCCTTACCTCTCCTTCACAGAACATGTCTTTTTGGATATCAAGAAAAAGGTACAACATTTAATTGAATGCAGAAATGTCAGCATTTTCTACCTGAAAATGCCAACTGTAATCACTTTTGTTAGATTCTCAGGTAGAAATCTAATCTTTAGACTCAAGCTTTGTATAATCCAATAATCTGATCTTTAAGCAGACTGATTCAAGTAAGTAACTCAACAAGCTGGGGAAAACATGCTGATGCATTTATCACCCTGAAATGGAAGCCTAATTCTTGAAATGAGAACAAACCATGTTTCACAGGCTACAATCCATATAACACAATCAAGGTAATGTTATGCTCACCCAAGATATGATTTAAAAATCAAGCAGACTGACAATTAAGGAAAGATCAATGGAAGAGAAAATGAGCGGAACTATATGCACTGATCAATATATGCTTGTACTGCAAGTAGATATGGTCTCTACAGTACAATCAATCAGTCTCTCAGTCTTCTTTATCAAAATTACATCTTTTTTTTTTTCCCAGAAAAAATCACTTCCTCATCCTGTGTGCAAACCTACTATGGACAAATATTGGAATTAGCTTACATCAATAAAGCTATCTTTGTCACATATTCACTGACAGTTTTGAAAAAAATAAAAATAAAATCTCACTGTATCCTTATCTATGTGAGTCAACTGAAACCAATAATCTTTGATAATATTGCAACTTATCAATCGGAACCTTTTGCAGAAGGATAGCAGAGTTCAAATTCTGAGATAGGTTATGCAAAGAATCTCGCACTGTATAGACTTTCATCAATTCCTATGACTTAATAAAAGCATTACAAAGTGTATGTGTTGCGTTCGCTGGCAATCTTTTATCTAAACATAATCAACCACCATGGAAGAGATGGGCCATTGATTGGTCAATAATGCTGAGCAAATGTCTCCTCAGCTTTGCACCACAATAAGAACATATTTTCAGGAGCACTTTAAAAAAACATATGGAACACCACTAGTCTGAATGCAGATTTCATCCCCCACCCCCTTTCCAAAAAGAAAACATACTGAAGAACAACATAAATCACCCAGTAGTCAGTAATATGATATGTTCCCTGGCTTAAAAGAATATCAATATGATCATGCAATTACTGACAGAGTTACATCACCACTGTTAATCTGCTTTAACCCAACATTCAAAAGAACATTTTCAAAATTCTAAAATAATAATAATAATAATTATTATTATTATTATTCTTCATAAAATTCACTTTTGGTAACAAGTGCACCAGATATTTTTTAAACATTCAGTCAATAATCTTTATAACAGTTTATGAATACTTAAGTTACAAAACAAGGCATTTGAGATTTAGAACCATTATTTGAGTACCAGAGGTATAATTCAATAATGATTTAATAGGGCTCAGAATTATGTATTCAATGCAAACATACCTTTTTCACCAGCTGTCATTTGTCGATGATCATACAAAAGCACTCAATTTACCTTCACCAGCACTGGCATAAGACACACACCCGCACGTTTTGTTACTGTTCAGCTGTTATGACCATGCAGCTGACAAAAGGTGTGTGTGCATTACCACTAAATGAATGTGTATCTCATGACTATGGAACAAGTTGCATCATATGTAAAAATGCAATATCCTGCCTTGAAAGGGTAACAAATACATGTTGCAAAACCTCTTAAGTGAAATGGAGCAAACTTTCATATCTGGGCGCGTATATTCTGTATGACCCATTTGACCTTGATATGCTTCCAAAGGTTAGGAGTTTACTAGTCCGAGAATTCCAATTAAAGCTGCATTCTCTTACGCACTGCGCTCATGACACTACTGTTTCGTCATTGAAGGCCTTATGCAATCGCAAATTTCAGGTAGTGTATTACCTACACTGCCCGACAAGCCCCTTCAGTTGAAGCATTAATAAACATTGTGCTTACAAGCCATTCGAAATTAGTTCTGGCGATTACTCAATAACAGATAAAACACAAAATTTCAAAGATTGCCATGTGTGCATCTACCGAGCCTTAAGTCATGGCAATAGCAAAATACGAAAAAAAAAGAGATGTTTTTGAAAGGTGGCCAATCTCGAGAAAAGCATGCACGTGGTCCCATGTCACACGTTTGAATGCTTACCAAGATGATCACTCTCAGTTTCATCACTGTCGGTATCTGATGATCGCTGAGCGTTCTGCTCTACATTTCCTTCACTATCTGGACTTTTAACTCCTGCCATTAAGTAAAAAAGTTCCGAAGATCCTTGCACGTGTGGGACATTCAACCTTCTACTGCTTTATAGCCTCGAAGCAGTAGCCAGCTTGCGAAATCGCGAAATCGTCATCTTCGTGTCATCATGCATTTAATGTTAATATGATATTTTATGTACTTCATAAGTTTATTTAGCTATAATCATTCAAAGTAAAATAAAAACGTCACATAAAATAATGGATATCTGTTAATGTACATTTGAAATATTTCTCTAAAAAGTTTTGAGAATAAAAAAGAAAATGGCGCTGTCCATAAAACGGGAAATGTGAGGCGTAAACATTTAATGACTGAAACCCAAAGATTTATGAGTCGAATATTGAGGCAAGAGGATTGATTGTTTTTCCGTAGGCAATAGCTTGATTTTAACAAGACAAAAATGCCCGAGTCCCCAGTTCTTCTCGAGTCTCTACGACAATCTAGCAAAGGGAAACTTAAATATGACAAAGACTGGCACAAAGTGAAAGGAATCAAGGTAATCGATAATATAATCAGCATAAGTAAAACGGTCAGAATTAATTGCTTGAGACTTAGTGCTACTGTCGTATTAGTAGTAAAATCACATTAGCTTACCCATTATCTAATCAGCCTCCAGGGTTCCTGTTTTTAACTGTACATCCCTCTAGGTAGCATGAAACTTCCTGATATGCTCTACATTTATATTAGTCCATAAGTTCTGGCCGAAAAAATTTTTAAATATAAGCAAGCTATACCGTTGTTGTGAATCATGAATGTAAAATATTCAATTTGTATTGGGGGTGTTATAAACTCCAAATGTCCTGACTGCTGAATGTTAAATTCCACACTGCAGAAACATTTTATTTTCATAGCTTTTTTTCACTCCAATTATAATTTTCAGCATTGAGATGAACAGGTCAAATGTACAAAAATATTTGCTTAAGACTATATGAAACTTGCTTTTCATTTTCATGTATGCAAGAAACTTTAATTTATTTCAGTCTATGCTAGAAGAATGCACATCACCACCCCCTGTAACTTGTGTAAAATCTCCACAGGGATTGTCACCAAAGACTGGGTCACCTATGAGAGGATCACCTCCAGGAGCTCTACGCCTTGAAGATTCCTGTCAGGAAGGTTCATCTAAAGGAAGGTCACCACGGCAAACTTTTAGAAATACCTCCTCTTCCTCCCCTTCCTGCAGTGCTTCAAGAATCAGTAACAGGTATTTTCTAAATAAGTGCGATCAGCTGTTAATGATCTTATTTTTTACAGGTATAAACGTATTTCAAATGTTTTTACACAAATTAATATCATTTGCTATGAAGGTGCTCTTCATTAATTTTTTATCTTTGATCTAAACTGCAGATGTAAGCATTGTTTAAGTGGTAAGCAAGTAAAATCTAAGTCTACTGTAAAATAAACAGTTAAATTGACGAAATAATAATAATAAAAAAGAATATTAAAAATCTGAACAAAGATTCAAAGTAAAATGAACCAGTACTTTTAAGCACAGCTTTTCAGCTTTTACCCTATCTGTATATATTGTTTCTCTTTATTCAATTATTCCAGCAAGTCAGATGTGGCTCTCAAAAACAAAAGCCCTAGAAAGTTGCCATCATCTCCATTATCTTCAGTAGAAAGTTCTGAAACCTTGTCACCAATATCTGAGATAGTGTTACCAAAGGCACATCAGTCAGCACTGGCAATCATTGAATATGAAAGGCAGTCAAGACAGAAAGTCGAGGTAACAAAAGAAATTTTGTACAATAGGGGAGAAGAATCATGCTTTTTAAAGATTTTTTAGTGAAATTAATAATAGCTCAGTTAAATTGTTGTACATCGTAAGTAGACAGTGAAGTGAAATATCTCAATAGGTCCTGTGGTGCTTGATGCATGTCTTTTTTTATTGTACCACCACATAGGCGCTGGCGGTACACATGGTTTTAGTCCCGTCCGGTCCGTTCCACCGGCCTGCGTACCCATCTCTTGTTTTCCAGAGTATTGTAATTTTCAAAGGAGATGTCTACTTTTTTACTCTCCTCTTACAGGCAGCAATCAGACTGAAAAGACAACAACTGGAAAAAGAGCAACAACTGATTCAAATAGAGGCAGAGAAAAATTTATATGATCTTCATTTTAAACAAGACATTGAAAACAAGAAAAATTTAGAACAGATCCTCATGGCAGCAGATGTTAGGTAAGGTCATCAGACATATTGAGAGTTTATTAAGACAGAATCCAAGATTTGTGGTCTTAATGAAAAAAAAGAAAATTATTCATCTTTTTCATAATTTTCATTATTTTTATTTCAGAACACAGGAGGTTCAACAAAGGCATCAGGTCTTAAAAGAACACCACAAGAGACATGCTAAGGTAAGATCACAGGTTATGTTATGTTACTGAATTGATTTCAAAGGATGTATTATAGCTGAGAAATTTAAATTATTGTTCATTTGATAACTTCTGTAACTTCGTTTTTATTTTTATTAAATGAGAAAAAATGCAATGTTTAACATACGTAATGATTTTTTTTTTTTTTGCATGATCTAGTATAATAGTATTTTATGCATAAATGACAACTGTAACTGTTGTTTGCATTAACTGAGAAGTCAGAATCTAGGTTTGTAATTAATTTATAATGAAATGGAATATAATATTTCAGATGTTGCATGCCAAGATGCAGGAAGCTGAGGTAAGAAGAAAACAGTTGGAGGAAGAAGAAAAGAAAAGGTAATTCTTGTGTATACCCAGTTTTAAGGATTAAAATTCTTCATACCTCTGCCAATCATCATGTCTCTTTTTGTTTATAAAATCAGAAAATCTAACAGTTGGGTTCCCAAATATAATGTTTTTCCACTTGGTTGTTTGTAATATTATTGAATTATGATTGCATATCTAATGTTATTATAGGTAACAAGAAATCTTTAGTCTAAGATTTACCACAAGGTCATTCTGAATTGTTATTTATTTATATTTAAGAATTTTCTTTAATGTTAGGCAACAAGAAATCAAAAAGCGCCTGGCAGTAATAATTCAGACTGCAGCTGAGGCTAAGACAACAAAGCAGAAAATTGACCAACTGTTCAATAGCTGTAATTATAAACAGTTGCTTCCCGGTAATGTCCCAAAGAGCGTTGAACTGATGACACAAATCTGTAGTCGGATGGAGGCCATAGTGCAGCAGGTAGGTCATATACATCCTTTTCTAATTTTTGTTAATAATGTGGTGGCTTGTAGTCTTGGTGCTAACTGTAAATTTACCTAGAAACATCCAGGTATCAGTCACCAAATGTATAATTTTTTTTTAATGTTTGGATCGTAATGGAACGGTTCTGTTCAGTTAATCCCTATATTATCTTGATTAGATATTATATAGATTATATTGTGTCAGTACTCCCATGGGTTAATAGCAGAATCTAATTTTGCTGATGCACATTACAGGCCCAGCAGACTGAGGCTACAGATGACCACCTGAAAACCACCAATGAATTTTTGTCTCAGGCATCAAATATACTGGACCTGGTGCTGACATCTGTTGGTTAGTAGTACATTTCTGCACGTTTGTTTTCCTTTCTCATCCTGATAATATCTGTAACTTTAAAACTTTCTTGTTTGAATTTGCAGTGGATGGTCACATATTTTGTAGTTATATTTGTGAGTTCATTGGAAAATTAAATTGAATTGGTTGAAGGAATTTGGGGAAGTTTTTTAAGCTTTTAAAAGCAAAGGACAGATTACACACTATTGAAAATATTGACTTGAAATTTTATTATTATTTTTTTTTTCAGACGAAGCAAATAAAAAGGGCCAGGCACAATCAACTGCAGTAACCACAGCCGCATCAACTCCAACATCTGCACCAACATCAACATCAGCTCAAACAACTGCACCTGCATCAGCAGTTTTATCTACAGCATCATCAACAACAATTTCTGCAGCAAATAAAATATCAGCAGCATTAACAACACAACCAACAGGTAAAATTACCAAGTGTTTACTTTCGATCTGTTTGTGTAAAAAATATTGAAAATGCATGAAGATTGAAGAAGGCCATACACTAAAAGAAGGTATAATTTGAATGAATGGTAGTTCAGAACATAAATAAGTAACATAAGCAGTACAAAATGTTTGGATTCAGATTGTGAAGTTTGTTAAACATAGACTGTTTTTTTAATTGGCTTCTCAGCTGCTGGCGAAACTCTTTGTGCCCCTGTAAAGGCCTACGAGGCATTTGTAAAACTGCAGGAAAATCAGAAGAACGTAGAAAAGTCATATGAAGCACTGACAGGTCAAGATCCCAGAGTAAGTATAATGCTCATTTTGTTCAGCAGATTGGCTAGTTTACTTCAAAAAGATGATAACCCTACATAACTTATCTGTTAAATCAGTAAAATGTTGGTCAAAATTACACATTGTTTTACACCAAATGTTTCCATGTGGGTGTGTTTTTTTTTTTTTTTTTTTTTTTTTAAAGGCCAAATTTGTTTTTCTGTACCTGCTTTTATTCATATTTTCTACACAATTTTTCTTCAGCTAAAGAAATTTAAATTTGACCTCCAAAAGGCTGTCAATCTCCCTGTCAATGCCATCTCAAAAGTCAATGGTGCTCACTTGAGGGATAAATTAGAGAAATTGTGCTCTCTTCTCGCAGGCCAGCCAGTAGAGGTGTCCAATAAAATGGTCAAAGCTGCTGAACACCCAGCTGGCATAAACTTTTGTAAAGACCTTCTAGCTAAAAAAATACTGGTAAGTTAAAAGATCCCAATAAAGATTTCTTGTTATGGATGATCTGTATGAATCTGCAAAATTCAGAGGTCTGCAGACATCCTACTGCCTCAGTGCACACCGAGTCTTTTTAAAAACTGTGTAAAGATTGTTAAGTTAGACGTGAAAGATTGTATGGTGACAACTGTACCGTTTGTGTTTTTCTTTCTCTTTGCAGCTTGGCTTGTCCTATGTACAGGGTGGTCCATAAAAAACAACCTATTCTTCTAAAAAGAATTTGATATTTGCATTACACCAGTCTCAATTTTTTTTACTTCTAAAAGATAATTTTCCCCATTTTCAGAAACAAGGGGATGAGCAGGTTTCATCCAACTTTGAATCTGCCTTCCCTATTGCTATGGTTGCAGTTGGAGTATGGTGCATGTATCCAGACTTTGGAGATTTATTATTGGCACATTTTCACATAGCTTGTCCCTATCTAGTGCCATATTATAGACCCAAGGAGAAGGGGCAATCCACAGAAGATTATTACAAGTAATTTTTATGTTTTTAAAAATATACAAAAGTCTTATATTAATTGCATAGTTTTACAGACTATTTTTAAATGTTGAGTTTTTCATTTTATATCTGAATCAATTAATAGATTGTTTGTAGTTTATTCTTTACTTAATTTGTGTACTGAAGACCTCCCAATTAAAGGGATAATAACTCTTCGTTCTGGCCAAAAAATGAATTTTCCTGGAGTAAACAACAATTTTCCCATACTTACCAATGGTTAATGAATCCATTTTTACATTCAAAGTTAGTCCCTTTTTTTTCTAAAAAGTTTGGTTTTTTGTTAAAATCTCTTAAGAGATTATAACAGAGTATAGCCATCAATGGAAGTCACGTGATCTGAAGACAAGCTCAGATCTCAGAATAATAGCTATAACTGCTGTTTTTGTGGTAAAACAGAATATATTATATTTCTATGAGTTGTTCACAATGTTTTTATTGTGAAATAAAGATATTATACGAAGAGTTTTTGTCCCTTTAAGTTGTTACCAAAGTAGGGTATAAGCTTAAATTTATAAACAATCTTTAAATGTCAGTCAGGTCTATATTTATAGTGATATCTGAATATTTTGAAACATATCATAATTATGTGCTCAATGGTATTTTTTATGGGCTTTCAGGTCACTTGGTTATGCTGTGGAAAATGGACAGTGTGAAAAACAGGACAAGTTTCTCAGGCGTATGACAGGATACATGAGACTGTATGCAGCTATGATAGTGTCTCCGCCACCCAGGGGTGAACAACAACCACACCCACATGGGGTAGAGAAAGGGTGGGAGTGGTTGTGTAATGTCCTAAACTTGGACCCACGTCCTGATATCACAGCAACTTTACTGCTCAATTTCCTGGTAGTTGCCGGTAGTGCTTTAGCCGAGGCTTACAGTAAACAGTTCTTTAAACTGCTACACTTGTTGTGTACAGAATATCTACCAAAGGTGAAACAAGTGACACTTCCTGGCTCTGGAGGCCCTGTAACAAGACTTGAACAGTTTCTGCAAAAATGCATAAAGAATGGAAAAATTGACCCACCTGAGGGCAAACTGTCTGCAGGGTTTTGGTTTACATAATACTATAAATGTAAGAAATATATTGGAAAAAATCTGATGAGTCAGAAGGAAAGTTCAAGATCACTTATGACTACAAGTGATATTGTGAAACGAGATGACCCACACCTAAATGACCATATTGTGATATTAATGCAGATATTGGCAGTGGCAGCACTGGAATGGTTTGGTTGAGAAAGTTGTCAAACTGAACTTTGAATGCTGCAAGAAAAACGTTTGTTTTACAATTTATTCAGCAGTAATATGTCTACAATATTTTTTAAACAAATATTGATGGTCATTCTTTGAATGTACATTTCATGGAAGCATATTTCGCAGATCTCATTAGGCTCATATCCTAATATGCATAAATACTAAGAATAACACAAGTTTTAAGAAAGAAGTGATGAAACACCATTGTGCATTTTTTAAAGTTCATTTGGAATGCAGAAATTTCTAGCACTGAGCACAGATAATGTCACTACTGATTTTCATGTAATTTTAAGTATCCCATTTTAAGTGAATTTGAAACATTTTTTAACACATCAAGAAACTGAAATTGAAGACAATTGTCATTATAATATCAGTGACGAATGCTGAAAGCATTTTCAAAATAAAATTTCAAAAAAATCTTTAAAATGAAAAAGATCTTTTTGTGCATATATGGTTATTCTGTTATTTAAGAGTTGAATTGATTTAAAGACTACAATCATTTAATAACAGCAGAGAAATGACCAACACTCGTCCCATGTATTTTTGGCATACTATAATAGTTTCCTTTGAATACCATTAAATGGACCTCAAATCAAAATGAGTTTTTGAACCCCATAAAATTCATTCAAAAATATTATCATAGTTTCTTGAACTTCATGCCCTTTTCTTACAAATCTTTAAATGAGATAAGTTTTATACCTTGCTCTTTATAGAACTGTTGCATGGCTGAACTTGTAAGAACTTGAACTTCATGCAATCTGTCTGCTGACTTAGCAAAGCCGTCTGGTCCTTGCCCACAGCCACCTTGGAGGTCACAATTTGGATATCCAGGGTGGACCATCAGTTCACATGACACGGAAGACTTATCCTTGTTTATTGTGTTATCGGGTGAAAAAATTGCCTTTAGAGCACTCTGGATTCTTTCCTCTGTCATTTCACTGTCCATATCACTGCCCATGGTGGTCATGCCAAGGAAATGATCAGTTGAACTAAAAAAGTGAAACCAACAACTTTAGTGTATAATGAAAAAAAATCAAGATCTTGAATTGAAAGAAGAGTGGACCATAAGAGGGGAATTTCTTTTGTAAATTATCAGACTAAAAATCCCCCTAGTCTAATATCTACTGTTGCTGTGCAAAGAGAACTAAATTTGACCAAAGAGCCACTGAAAATGTTTAGGTCTCTGGCCTTACTCTCATTCTAAGAACTATGTTTCATGTGAGTATCTTCACCTTATTCCATTTTGATAAAATAAATCCTTGGCTTCAACTGCACTGTTCACAACTGAAGTAAAGAATTGTTTCCAGTCACTGTTAAGCCAGGGTACATTGACATCCTCCACTGGAAGTCTAGTGCAGGAAATGTTGTGACTAGATAGGACTTCAGCAAACACCTCCCTTACTCCTGAATAATATGGATCAAACAGTTATATATTTGCCAAGCATTCAACACAGATATTAAAAAAAAAAAAAAAAAAGAAAAGAAAAAGAAAACAGACTCTGAAGAAAAAAGCATTTCATTTGGTCTCATTAAAAATATCTTCTGGTTTTATGCGAGACCCATATAAAAAAAAAAACTTTCAGTAAAATTAGGCATTAAGTTCACTGGATTTTCACCAGATTTTTATTTGGGGTTAATTATGGAATAGACAAAATATTATTCTTCTGAAGTCATATACGGAGTCACTTAACTGAGAGTATGTCAATTTTCCAGAAAGTGTGACAAGTGGTGCATTCAGATTCACACACACTGCTAGCTGGGTCCAACTCTCTGGGGAATTCTTGCTAAAGTGCAATCAGCTTAATTAGCTTAATCAGCAAATGATAGTAAATTACCCCCTAGCTGCTGGAGGAGGTGTGTTAGTACATGATATGAATCTGAATGCAGCTAAGGACACACACCCTCCCAAAGTCACACTTGTGTAAAACCTGCTACTGACAGCAAGTTCTAAAGGCTACCTACCATCCAAGGTGTGGACATGCTGATGTCCATCTACATGATGTGGAAGATGACCACACAAAGACTGGAACTTCTGGAGCTGACTTTCCAATTCTAACTTAACCTGCGATCAAAAAATTCAAATTAGATTATAATTATATTACACTATTTCAAATTAGATTTTAATTGTAACAATTCATCTTTTTTAACATCATATGGAACACATAACTTCTACTCTGCTGCAGTTATGAGCTTGCTTTGGCATGGCATGCATTATCAGCATACCATATTTAAATGCCGAATGTATAACATTAATTGGAAATCTGTATTAAATGTGATAAAAGATATGTGTGTGTGTGTGTGTGTGTGTGTGTGTGTGTGTGTGTGAGATAAATATGAGTACATAACCGTGGATCAAAAGCTATAACCATAATAATATTCTTTCAGTTAATAAGAAATCATTTAAACAAAATGAATGAAAGGCACAGACCTCTTTCATATCCACTTTCTGTGAATGTAAAGCTTCTCTGAAGCCTATCATTCCTAATTTCCAACCATTTGCATCTGTGAATGTGCAACCACTGGTCTGAAGTGACTGGCAAACTGGCTGCCCCTCAGTTATGTTAAAGTGCAAACCTGCAATAAGTTAAATATTAACACTGTAACAAAATAAAACCAATAGTTGGTGTAAAATGACTGAAGTTATAAGTTTATAAAAATGATGCCATGTTTTTTGTTTGGTCCTATCTAGGACCCATGAAAAATCTTTCATGGTCCTAAACTACATATACCTATATTCTAGACCATTTTTCAGAAGTGGCTTATATGACATTTTTTTAAAATTGTTCATGTGTTAACTTTGAGTGCCTGATACGGCAGCTGGACTGTATCCTCCCCAGGGAGGCGAGAGTGTCACGTCCATTATTCATATTTATGTACCACTTTTACCCCATGGGTTACAATTTTGAAATAAAGTTATTATTATTATTATTATTATTATTATTATGACTCATTTTGTTCAGCATGAGTTGTCAGAAATCTTGCGCTATCTTTTCTCTTCTTCATTATTATTATTGTTATTATCATTATTCAACTTGAAAGGAGAACTATGCTGAAAAATAAATAAATCTGAACTTTTTTTAATCTCTATTGTGGTTTTACATCAATAAACCTATAATGCTTTACCTCAATTTACACCTACCCACAGATATGTTATATTCAGAGATAAGTTCAGCAGCTTGTTGGGCAGCTTGACCACTGACCATTAAGGTCGTACTTGTAACAGCCCCTGCCTTGTAACATTCAACAATGCCTTTGTTCCTCTCCTCACAGTAACCAAAGTCATCAGCATTGATGATTAGGTGCTTCTTCATTACTGCAAAAAAAAAATTCAGTGATCAAAATGATCACAGAAGGGAATATTTGGATCAATCTAACATAAGAGTGGTGATTATTGAAATGGAAAATGTGTCATAATTTAGATTTTTTTGTTTTATCAAATAGGTCAATGGAAGAATAACCATTTAACCCATCACCAATCACTTGCTAAGTTACATTTACAAGTAAAAAAAATCCAGGTTGTGTGGTCTCAATGGGAGTCTAGCCTAAGGTCAGGAAATGTAAGAAAAGGTGTAATCAGCTCTCTTTCAACCTTTCAAAAAGCAAATTTGAATAAAAATGAGGATGAAGTAAGTTGAACTTCAGATATCAGATTGTACACAAAGCAACTGGTTTAAAGAGAGATTTATTTCTTGTATGATGGTCCAAGGTATTAAAGAAGCAGTTTAGGAGCTACAAAATTATATAATTATTGTCATCATTAAAATGCAACACGTTTTTGGACTTTAATATCAAGCACAGAAAAAAAAAGAGACAATCTGAGACAAAAGAATGATTGGTCCTTATAAGAAAAAAAAAATTATTTTAATAATCATAATGAGGTCCAGCAAAAAAGAAAGAAAGAAAGAAAGAAATTTGAATATCTTCCTGCAAGTGCAATATAAACGTTTACCTAATTGAAATTGTTTTGTGCTGCGCCACCTGCAAGATGACTGCACTGATCAAGACAGAAGATATATAACTGGAAAGCCAAAATAATCAAATTACAGACATGCCAGCTTAAGTTCACATCATCACTGATTTAAACCAAAACTCAACAAAACAGAATTGTAGAAACATTCATTCTGTTATTTATTCTACGTTGAGCGCACGTCACTGTCAAAACAGTAGAGATTTACTGTTTCCAGTACATTGAACAGTATAGGAAAGACAAGATACAGCCAAGATACCTAGAGTTCACTTGTCGTCGTCAAACAGGCTGCTGCCGCCGTGCCATTTGCATGACCTTGCTTTATCTGCAGGCATGACCTCGTCCTAGATTGTTTCTGATACAGAGTATTTGAGACTCGCTTTATTGCAAAGACAAAAAAAATATTCAAGACAAAACGAGAACCGCATTGTGCAACTAAATGCATTTTGGACGCGTCAATGAAATAGTAACCAATTCAAATCTTTACCCCAGTTCTATTTCTCCATAGTGTTCAAACCGTTTAAAAATTATTGAAAAATGCGCTGAGGTTCAAATGCACACTCACATTTTCTTTGGTTTCAAAAGGCGTTTGGTTTAGATATGCGGCTCAACCGTTTCCTCCAGCGATGTGTCATAGATCATGTTTTATGATAGTGATACTTTTAAATAAATGAACAGAAAGGAGAGCTCTGCGATCGTCTGATGTACGTAGTTCTTGCATTTCATCCGGGTCTAATATTTCAGATCATCTCGGTAATTCTGCAGATGAGGGTCTAATAGTAAAAACTGGTTTCATAACGATATACTGATCTGCAGTCCTCATTAAATTTCTTTCCCTGTCACGTTTTATAGGAATATTCAGCAATGCCTCTCCAGTTGGGACAATAGTAAAATACCATAAAAGTTACTAATCTCAATGCATCATAGGCTATTTTATAATTTTAATCATAACTTTTATAATTATAATGAAAATTATTATCATAATTAAAAATTACAATTTTAATCTAATACTATATATATAAATTTCTATATCCTTATTTGTGCATTTAATGTGTAATGTGTAATGATACCAGTCTGAAGAACGATATCCCGAATTTATTGAAATATTCCTTCGGGAATGCGCACCCAGCCGCAAACAAGGATGAGTTGATTTTTCTGAACATTGACCAAAATCTACATAGTATAGACAAAGAAACGGTCACAAGAAGAGGCAGGCTTCCCATGAATCCTCTTTATTATATAGTTTTAAACTATAGTTTATTTTTTATTTTTGAGAGGAGAGCCATTTGTAGCTCTTTTATTGGTGCATTGTTAAACAGAATTCTAAAGCATATATTTTAGTTTTAAATTTTGTTCATATCTATCCCGTTAGTTATTTTATGCTGCTCACGTCTAATATAACAGTTGAAAATCGGTCTCTATCTTTTTCCAATAACAGAATAGGTGCATTGGTGAATCACGTGAAGAAAATCCCTTTTAGGTAAAACAAATTGTGACGTCACTGAGCCGTGCCGTCGTTGCGTAGTAACGCAAAAGTTATCGCAGACATACTGCAGCACAGGCGAAAAAATGCAGAGATTTTTGTTTTACTAAAACAAAGCAAAAATGATAATTACGTCACATATGGCCTTTTTAGGCATGAAAAACATCTACAACTATATTTTTCACAGAGAAACATTTGAACTAGAATACGAGGTGAGTTGTTTTTTTTTTTTTTTTTTTTTAATGAGTAAAAAGGGAGAGTCGCCCGCTCGGTTTTGTATGAAACTTTGTAAAAATCTTATTTTCTCTTTTTGTCAGCTTATATTTGCATAATTGCAAAGTGGAACTGATTTACATGCAATGTCTGTGGCGGATTTAGGGGGAGTCAGTGGGGTCCTGACCCCCCCCCCCTTCGATTTCTAAAATAATCACACCAAAGGTCCCCTCTTCAAATTAGAAATTTGGCTAGCTGAATCATAGTTCGCCCTCTAAAATACCCAAAAATTTCCGGGCCCTTCAGCGGGCCCCGAACCCCACGCCAAGGGAGGGGGGGGAGAGGATCGGCTTCGCATCCGCAGACCCCCCGTGCAAATAATCCTGGATCCGCCCATGCAATGTGATATAGTTTTCAACCTTAAGGATAAACGGAAGGAAACTAAAATAGTTCCAAATTTCAGAAGTATGTTTAATGATTGAATATCTTTTAATTCATATCTAGGTCCGAGGACTTTTCCAACAGGAAGACACGCTGCTTCCGATCTTAGGACGAGGAGGGTTCGGCACAGTGTACAAGGTATTATGATGTTAACTATTGTGATGGTGATGCAAGCTGATATATATACATGTATATATATATCACAATAAAAGAATAAAAATTGAGAGATCGAAAATTAGTTTATAGACCCTAGTTTAAAAATTTTCGTTATTTAAGGTATACCTTGCTGATAAATGGGATTTAAAATTATCTTGCTATATAAGATACTAAAGCGCAAAGTATGGATTTAAGCAAGTATATCCTACTTAACATTCGAAATATTCTATATTTAGCTTAGAAACAACCTGGCTATGAAAGTGCCAAAATGCATGGAATACGGTTACCATATCCGAGAAGAAGTGATCGTTATGAAGCTAGCGCACAGCGACTTTGTTTTGGGGTATTTGAACTGCTGTATATATTTGTAAACCAATAACAATTGATTTTGAATTTTTAATTAGTTCACACGGTTGTTACCTTTGTCAAATATACCTTTTAAATATTGATTCATATCTTCAGATGTTTGATGCAATTTGACGGAGGATGATTAACAGTTGGTACGAGCTTTTAAAATTAAATCACAAAGAAAGAAAGAGTGTCAGTTGAGGCAGAGAGTCCGCAGGCGTGAAATGAATCGAAGAAAAAAGTTTTAATTTGTGAAATCATTTGGTTCCAGGCTTGTCCACTCTTTTGATGTCAGGCCAGAGCTAACGGTCTTAATTTCGGAAATATGTCCAATGGACCTGGAGGCCCTAAAAGAATACTGCGAAAGAAATTTGTAAGTTATTTTTCTTTTTCTAAATGCCCAGATTTCTTTCATATTCTCCCATCTCCTCTTTTTTTAATGGCATTATCCCTAGATTTAATGCATTTTCCTTTATTTCGACAAGAGCAAGTTCTGATACAGTTTCTTTTATTCATTTTTAGCGACGCAGTTCCTCTCCGGATGGTGCAATTTATTGCCACGTGCGTCTGTAAGGCAATTGACCATTTACACCAACTGCACATGGCACACTGCGACATCAAGGATAACAATGTCTTGATCAGTCAGCAAGGGATCCCCAAATTGGTGAGATGTTCGCTGGCGACATTTTTGCTCGAAAAACGTCTGATTCTGAATAAAAATGCTAGATATCATTTTATATTTATTTTATTTTTGTTATCTCTTGTTATCTATTATCTTTGTTATCTATTTGATTGGCTAAATAAACTTTAATCTTCTCTCTTATCGATATTAGATAATATTTTAGATAATAATTCGCTTTTCGATCTAACTGGATTTTTACGTCCGTAGTACAGCACATGAAATGAGTATTATGACTAACAGAACTTGTTTTTAAGTTTTCTTTAACTTCAACGTAATGTATTTCTGTTATTCTCTTCTCTTTTCCATTCATTTACGAATATTTATATTTTTCAGTGTGATCTGGGGTCGGCTCACCCATTGACCGAGGATGGGGAAAGTATTTGGGGACCGGGATTGGTGAACTTCACCCTCCTTAAAAACCTGACCCCTGAAGTCCTGACTGGCACCTCCGCCTCTTGGAGAGTAGATTTCTATGCTCTTGGTGTCATGTTGTTTGAGTTACTCGAAGGCAGGTAAGAAAGGGACTTACATGTACGTGGTTAGCATGAATTAGAAACTAATAGCCATATCGGTGTCCTTATCAAAATTTTTTGAAAGACTACTGGACCAAATATACAGGTTTTTATTTTAAAGAAAATTGCATAATTATAGAAAGGGAGCATTTTGTATGCCATGTCTATCAGAATATTACATCTCAATGTCTATTCAGACACCCTCTGTGGATTGAAGTTCCCAGCAAGCGTGAAGCCACTCGGAAAAATCTTGCATGGAACCATCATCTACACAGATACAGATTATGTCTTCAGGGACCTTATTGACAGTCTAGTTTGGTGTGTAATACGTTATTGTGACTATGAGTTATCTGATTTTGTAAATTAATATTTTTGAATATTGGTTTATAACTGTGAAATACTTTACATGTTTTAAAACCAGTTTAAGCAGCGTTCTGTTTGATATAAATGTGAATAATGTTCATATTTAGTCATTTTTTAAAGTATTGTCGACAGTTTTCAATACACTATGTAAATATCTAAATGCGTTTTCCCTTATTTTGTTTCAGTGACTTGGACCAAAGACTAGACAATATGGATGATATCTTATATCATGAGTAAGAATCATTATGTTTTTTACTCCAATATTTATGAAAGCTTCTTTATCATGAGCCAAACTTTCTAATACGCATCAATTATTTCTTGCTTATTTTGAAAATTTAATTTGTTAATCTTATTTTTCGTTTTATTGTATTTTTTTATTCAATTCTTTTCTTTTTATTTATTTATTTGCTGCAGTTGGCTATTCGACTATTATGTAAATGACTTTCCAGACGACTTGGTCACTTCTCCCATTTTGAGCATTGCTCAGGTAAAGGGTCGCTTGAACTTTTTCTTTTTGCTTTTATGCAGCTCAAAACAAAATAAATTGGCGAAATGAATGGCAAATGAGATAAACCTCGACCTATTTAAGTATATTTACATTGTGCATATGCAAAACAGCGAAATGTCAGCGAAATTGTTCGTGACGGACACAGAATTCATAGCTTACAAATGTTCACTGTAGAACACAAGATGCCCTGCTGGTGTAACATATTTGAATTCTGTCTTTTACTGGCTGATTATATTCTTTTCTTTTATTTATCGATTTTTTCTATTGTTATTTTGTTTCTTTAGGAGGTAATGACCAACGATGAGATGGTTTTGACACCGCTGAATGAACACAGCAGCGTACACAGTGAAACCAGTGAATCCGACTCCGATTTGGCAGAAATTCTGGCCTTTTACAACGAAGCCAGCGATGGTTAGGAGACTTCTGTCAACTGACAATTATATAAATATTACAATTACTTCATATTATCCATATCGAATATTTACTATATAGTATTGACTCAATGGATTAGATATTGGGTCAGTGCATTCACTACCTTCTAATTTTCCTTATGTATATATGCTATGTACAATGTATTTTGTGGCATTATTTGACAACGTTTGTTTAAAATACATATATACGTGCCAAAACGAAATGTTGTATTAAAAGTAGCATTCCACCAATAAAACATACCAATAGGCTTGTATTTATGTATACTTCGCAGTATACATACATACAGTACAAAGAAAACTTAATGTTCGTATCTAAATCATTTACAAGAGACGGGCCTTGCACTTGGTTATGAAAGTGTGCGTTAAAACCCAGATCGTCCCCATCGGGAAATATAGAAAATAGGTCTATCTTGCTCGTGGTGTTAGAAGTCCAATCGGTTAAACTTAAACCAAAATATCTTTAACGACACCAACTTAGTCGGGAGAAGGTGACACACTGCAATTTAAAATATAAGTAATAATATAATATATATAGGCCTACATTAGTATCATTTACACATACTTTTCCTACAGCAGATAATAAATGTTCGTACTGTAAATCATGAAACCTTGTTTTTTTTTTTTTTTTTTTTAAATCTTATTGTAGAAAGTCGAGCATATTACGGGGAATATTGCACTGTTCACACACCTGAGAACGTTGACGATACTCGTGGACACTGCACCTTAAGGCAAATTCTAAGAGGTTTAAACAGTTCCTAATTTTACAAAAACGCTAGATTTGTGCCTTTCAATATTGGGGCATCTTATTTTTCTGCTTGTCTAAGGATCTGGTAAGTTTAGGAAATTCATCAGTGTGGTTAATGGAGTTAATCTAGTTCCTCCAATACAAAGGTGACAGACTTCTCGAATTCTGTGTTTCATCTCAATCATCTGTACTTTATTTTCTCCAAAAAAAGACTTTTCTGTCCAGTATCTGAATTTTTCTACTATGATATCAAGTTCTGTAGCTTTAACATATTAAAATCTAATTTTCTATGTATTTCAGAGAACTGTTCGCCGATAAAACTGATCGATAGTAGTGTTGACGTTTTAGGTTGTAGATTATCTTTTCTGGTTGCTTAACTAGTCCTCATTGTATTGTGGCCCATAGCCTTTGCGTTACGAATATAGCCCTTGCGTTACTTATAATTGTCGCTACTTTAAGTCTTAAGATTTTCCTCATTTCCGTCATAAATATAGTTCCTGTGCAGTAAAATTCCCCTTCGAGCAGTCAAAATTTTGCGTAATTTTCGTCGAAACTTCCATTTTTATCGGAGTTATAATAGTGAACGTCTGTCCACCTTGACCTCTGTTCTCCAGCTAACTACATGTACATGTACATGTACGTGAACCGCATGCCGACAAAACTGTGCAATTTGTAATGATTTTAAAAAAAAAGAAAAAAAAAAAGAAAAAAAAACTCAATGTTGATAAAATTTAATTTGTCAACTGAATATGGAAGTATACCGTTTCATTGAGGCGTCAATCTAATAATGATTTTAATAAAATTAGGGTCCTGTTGACTCAATGAAATCATGACTTTATTAGCTGCTCAGCGATCTCTGTTACATGTATCTGCACGTGATCATTACATGTCTGTATCAGTGTGTTTCAGTATCCTGTTTCAAATAATTTTGAAATGAAATATTTTGACACGTATCAGAAAACTTATATTGGAGTAGATTTTACGTTAAAATAGCAATGACAAGTGATGTTTGTCTTTGCCACTATCATAATAAAATGAAAAAAATTAATATGTTTACTTTGTCTGTATATCTGATTATTCTGATAAGGATATCATAATATAATACTAAAGGAGTTTTACTGAAAAGTTCCCTATTTTATGGAATAAAAATTATCATTAACTCTATACTACACTGTATTGGTGAATATATAAACTAGATAAGATCAATTCAGTTTTTTTCTCTTTTGCTCCCTGTTATATTTCAAAACTGTTATTGTAATTGTTTGAACTTCATGTCACCTGTCTCACAAATCTTCAAATGAGATCAGTTCTATACCTTCCTCTTTATAGAACTGTCTCATGCTCTCATTTATTACTGCTTTACATTCATAAAGCCTCGCTGCTGGATTGCCATCTGGTTGGATTGCCGCAGCGCCACCTTTGCCGTCCCATCTTATAAACCCAGGGTGGACCATCCATTCACACGACACCGAAGATTTATCCTTATTTATGGTATTATCTGGTGAGAAAAATGCTTTCAGTGTACTCTGGATTCGTTCTTCTGTCATATCAAAGCCAATGGTGGTCATGCCAAGGAAATGATCAGTTGACCTGAGAAATGAAACCAACAATTTTAAGATGAATCAAATTTAATGTAGTTAAAAGGGCAATACTTTAAATTTGAGGAATGGACAATAACAAGCCAATTTCTTCTTTCAGTTATCATAGAAAAAAAAACTTTTCTAATATCTGTACCATAGTTGGTAAGCAAAAAAGAAAACAAGGCAGCAGGGCTGTCAAATGTTTAAACAAAAAGCAGAAACTAATGAAGCACAAAATAGGGTTATTGTCAACTTCGATTTCATATAACATCATGCTTAACTGCAAGTTTTAATTATGCAACAGGTAAAACAGATGTTAAGACTAGAGGAAAGGGCAGCAATACCTCCACCAGATATTGTACCACCAGTCAGATTATGTTCATTTAAGTTAAATGGTACATGTAGTTATGGATTTATCTGTTTTAGTTGCAGAGAAATAGGGGCAAGTAATTATTTTGTCGATTTTGATTCAATAATGCCTTACAGTAAAATACACCAAATTTTAATTATGCACAAAAGGCAAAACCAATACTAAGACCAGAGGAACAGAGCAGCCATATCACCACCAGATATTGTGCCATCTGTCAGATTATAGTCAGTCATGTTAAATGGTAGCTTTTAATATTGTGGAGAAATAGGGACTACATAATATGTGAAGTGCATGTGAAAAAGTAGGTCAAAAGTCAAATTCAAGGTCAGATTAAGATTTTCAATGTATGATTTCCTATTCAAATTCAATAGAAACTATGTGCTAGTTTTGGAGACATAAGGAGCTGTGTGTTTCACGTGAGAATCTTCACCTAATTCCATTCTGATGAAATAAATACTTGGCTTCAAGAGCACTTTTAACAACTGAAGTGAAGATTTGTTTCCGGTCACTATTAAGCCAGGGTACATTGACATCCTCCACTGGAAGTCTGGTGCAGGAAATATTGTGAGTGGATAGGACTTCAGCAAACACTTCCCTCACTCCTGAATCAAACACTTATATTTGCAATGTATTCAACAGACACATAAAAAAACTTATTTGGTAAAAATATATCTTCTAGTTTTATGTCATAATTTTATTTAAAAAAAAACTATATGTAAGGCAATAAGTAACCTGGGTTTATTTATAGACTTGTTATTGAAGGTCCATTCTGCACTAAAAAAAATGGCATTATTGTCCTATTGAGTAAATATCTTAGAGAGTTTGCCATTATTCAAGGAAGTGTGACAAGGCCTCTCAAAAGGGGGGCGTCTCGATAGTCCGAAGGTTCATTGGTCCGAAGGTTCATTGGTCCGAAAACTGGTAACATTTTTATCGGTTTTTTTAATCAAGGGTTCATTGGTCCGAAGGTTCTATAGTGAACATTCGGACCAATGAACCTTCGGACTATTGAACCTTCAGCTACGGCCCCCTCAAAAGTTGCAACTGTGGAAACCCTATTACTGATCAACAACTTCTAAATGCTACTAACCATCCAGGGTGTGGACATGCTGATGTCCAACCACATGATGTGGAAGATGACCACACAAAGACAGGAACTTCTGGAGCTGACTTTCCAACTCTAACTTCACCTACAATCAAACAAGACCATTTTAATTAAATTATAATTGTAACACTTCTTTTTTTTTCATGTTTCCATGTAAAACACAAAATTTCTACCTTGCTGCAGTTATGAGCATATTTAACAATGAATGTATAACATTAATTGAATGCTTACATTTTGAAAATCTGTATTAAGTGAGACAAGATATATACATGTCAAATATAAGTACTTAACTGAAGATTAACAGCCATTATATTCATGTTTTTCTTTTTCCATTCAATAAGGAATCATTTAAAGTTCCATATGAAGCAAGCGTGGATTACATGTAATGTAAATAAACCACTGCTACTTGTTTCCTATATGACTCAAATAAAGTCTACATTCCACGGGATAAACTAAATTAATTAATTAATCAATCAATGAACCATAAGGGGTTTTACAATTGTACCTTGTTCACATTTCTCTATGTCAGTTTGACCTTTTCTACCCGGGTCCCTCCAATTCTTAAAAGTGTCCCAAATGACACAGTATGTATGACACATTTTTACTGCATGCTCAATAGCACAATTATTCAAATTTGTTGCCTGCAAAAATAACTGAGGGTTATATATAGCCCAGAAAGAAAGCATAAAATATCTGTATCAAAAGTATCATTTTTTGGGAAAATATAAAATGATGCTCTTTGATAATTCCAATAGTTATGAAACGAAACGGGAGCATGTGGTTGGGTTTTGTGGCAAAAAAATTTACTTCAATTCATCTTGAATAGGCAAAAATGCATTTACCTCTTTCATATCCACTTTCTTTGCTATTAAAGCTTCTCTGAAGCCCATCTTTCCTAACATCGTGCCATTTGCATCTGTGAATGTGCAGCCACTGGTCTGAAGTGACTGGCAAACTGGCTGCCCCTTAGTTATGTTGAAGTGTAAACCTGCGGAAAATAATATGTTAAATCTGTTAAAAGGTACCTCCAAAGACTGGTGGAAAAAGACAAGAGAAGTATTTTATCTTAACTTGATGAATAATGGTGCTGTATATTCTTTGTTTGGCCCTAGCCAGCCCCCCCCCCCAAAAAAAAAAAATTGTGTGTGCATACATTCTACACCATTCCATAGAACTGGTTTATATATGTTTGAGAAAAAAACTTTTTTGTTATTGTTGTTTGTTTTGTTGTTGATCAAAAATCAAGAATCTTTCTATTTTGAATAATTTTTTCAACATGAGTTGTCAGAATCCTTTGCTATGTTTTCTCTTTTTCACTATTATTATTATGATTATTATTTTTAACTTGGAAGGAGAATGATGCTGAAAAATGACAGAACCAGTTTTCTTCTGATTTTTTTGCTAATCTTTTCTGTGGTGTTGGTTCAATAAATCTATATTTTTCTACCTCCATTTACACTTACCAACAGGTATATTGTACTCAGAGGCCACCTCAGCAGCTTGTTGGGCAGATTGACCATTGACCATCAAGGTTGCACTAGTAATCGTGCCCATCTTGTAACATTCTACAATGCCTTTGTCCCTCTCCTCACAGAAACCGAAGTCATCAGCATTGATGATTAGACGCTTTTTCATTCCTGCAAAAAAAAGCATATTCAGTAATTAATTAATTAATTAAAGTGATTACAAAAGGGAGTATTTGGATCAATCTAACATCAGAGCACTGATTATTCGAATAGAAAAATGTTTCATCGTTTAATCACATAGGTCAACGGAAGAAAAACATTTGAACCTACCAATTATCACTTGCCGAAGTTACTTTAGCATTTTGTGTAATGAAGTAAAACAATTCATTTCAGATGTCATTTGAACTAAGGTTGTGTGGTCTTTATGCCAGTCTGGCCTAAGTTCGAGAACATAAAAAAGTATAAACAGCTTTCTTACCTAAATTGATTTATTCTTTCAATCCCCCCTCCCCCCAACAGGGGCGGATCCAGGATTATTTGAAGGGGGGGGGGGTCCGTGGATGCCCTCCCCCCCCCCCCCCTTGGCATGGGGTTCTGGGCCGCAAAAGGGGCCCGAATATTTTGGTATTTTAGAGGGCGAACGGTGCCAATTGGTACGGTTTATCACAATGATTCAGCTAGTCAAAATTCTAATTTCAAGGGGGGACTATTAGTGTGACTTTTTTTTTCAGAAATCGAAGAGGGGGAGGGGTCAGCCCCCCCTGACACATCCCCTTATATTAGTGTGCCACTGCCCAATGATCAAGGAATAAACATCAAACGCTGAAGAGAACTTTTACAAATTTGAAAAATATATAGGATGAAGAAAGCTGAAGTTTTATAATATAATAAACTGTGTATCAAATAGTAGACATAGGAGCAACTGGATTAAGGACAGATTTATTTATGTAGGTCTTGCACCTCAGCCGGGTCTTAAGGTGTAATTTACTCAAATATTTTCCCTGGAGCAAATAATTCTGTTTTGGGCTTTTATAGCAAGCTTAGAAAAAGAAAAAAGTTTGGTACATCCTTGTAATAAAAATTAAAGTAATTATTTCAATTATATATATATATATATATATATATATATATATATATATATCGTTATATGTCTCACTGTAAGTGAATTAAACTTGTTTTCCTGCTTGGTTTTTTGCTGCGCCACCCGCACACCGAATGCACTGTTCAACTTCTGATGGCGGATGTTCACTGGAACGCCAAATTTATTATTGAACGCAGCCATGTCAGCTTAAGTTCATATCACCACTAATTATAATACACTTTAAATCAAAATTCAACGAAAACATAATTGTATAGAATCATTCATTCTGTAATATATCTGGGTTTATCTAGGTCATGATTTACCTTATTTCTACACTGTGCCACGTCTCTGTCTCTGTCAGAGTATACATTTTTTTTACAGTACATAACCAACAACAGAATAGCGATAAATAGGAGATACAAGATACATACCTAGAGTTCATTTCAGATATTACATGTATTTCTCTGCCGTCTTCAAACAGCCTACTGCCGCCAAACTATTTACATGACCTCTGTCAAGTACCCATAAATGTTCGTAACATATTTATCATGAATTATGGCAATAGTACGTGTATTTTGTTATTCTGAATTTCGTAGCCCTTGTGGTTATAAAGCCAGTTGAAATGGGTTCTCCTCAAAAGGATGTGAAGGTTGCTGTGCGACCTTTAATACTAGCATATAATCCAACCATAGTGCCTCATAGACTTCGAGCACGTACAGTTCTTCATAAGCCCCGTTACCAACAAAGCTGCGTACATGATACTAATACTTCAGACCATTTCGGTGATTCTTTGCAGATGAGGGTCTAAAACGATTCCCGAACTTTACAGACTGTAAAAACTGATTTCATAACTACCAACTTGTCTGCAATCATCATCGATTAAGTGATCTTAGCCTTATCCTTTACAAGAATATTCTGAACTGTCTGTCGAGAGGGTCCAATGGTGAATTACTCATAGGTTATAATCTTATGATCATAATCACTAAAATATTCTTGAATATTCTAATTAGTCTAAAGCAAATTTGTCTGTATAAATTTGTATTGCTCATTTTGTGCCTTTAAAGTGGCTTCAATTATTAATTGTAATTAACATTAAAAATCATATAATTATAATTATAAATCATAAATATAATCTAAAGCAAAATTTTCTATATAACGTTCTATCGCTCATTGTGTGCCTTTATCCTTTATGTTAAGGGTCAAAAACAGGGATTCTGAACAGTGACCAAAAACTACACAGACTTGTGTGCTTGTAACGTTTATTATGTACTTTTTTCTATTGCAATAAAAAAACAAACAAAAAAAATCACATAGACTAAAAGAATTGGTCACATTTTTTTTAGATGAGAGACATTTGTAGCTTTTATTATTGGTGCCATGTCTAACGGACTTCTAAAGCATGTTTTAATATAAAAATTCGTTAGTTACCTTACACTGCTAACGTCTAAGCCACGATGGTTAGGAGACTCCTGTCAGTTGACAAATGCATCATTCCCTTCACTTTCAATATTTATTGTCAAGACTCTATAAACTTATTTCATCTATAATAGACGCTAAAAAGTGTTAGACGGATACACCTAATATAAGTATTACAATAACCTCAAATAATCCATACTGAATGTCTACATTTTGAAAATCCACTTGAACTGGGACTATACAAATGACAGTTAAGTGTACATAACAGAATATGTTGGGTCAGTGTATTTACTACCTTCTAATTTTTCCTTCTTATGTATTTTTGATACATTGTTTTTAGTATGCATTAACCCTGTATGTTTAAAATATATATACGTACCACAGCAAAAAAATTCACCTTCACCAGGATCAAAAGAGTATGTGAGAAGAGGAGGCTATTAATGACAGTCATGCTTCCTATTTCCAAAGAAAGAAAGAAAGACACAGTGCAATTTATGTTTATTTTTAAAGTTCATTAGAAAGACAGGAAATTTTTTGTACTGTGTACTTAAATAGTGTGATTGCTGAAGTTATGCATTTTTGTTTGTGTAATTTGCATTTTTCTCATTCTGGCATTTTCAAAGTGTGAATTTGAACTCTAATGGACCTGAAGCCTCAGGCTTGTCACATATTCCTAACATTTGTGTTACTTGTTGTGCATAATTAAAATTTGGTGCTGATTTTGCTGTTAACCATAATGTATTATTTCATCAAAATTGACAAAGTAACATTGTTATTTTTGCTTTTTGACTGTATATTTGACAGCTTTCCTGCCTTTTTCTTTATAGTTTTGCACATTGCAGTAAGGTTGATACTTTTTTGTAGAGGAATATAGAATATTATGATATAGATAAATCCATAGCTTCTTGGTGAAAACTTAGCAATATATATATATATATATATATATATATATATATATATATATATATATACCCGAGGCTCGTTTTAGCGCTAGAAGAAGCATGGGATGTCACACTACAAACAGTACCCATTTTCATTTGCTTCAGTTAACATAACAAATCGCTCAGTAAAAGTATTTTTTTTAGTTTTAAGTGCATAAAGCGGAATCAATGTAGCCAGTGGGTGTCTTATGTTTATTTTAAATTCCAAAACATGTCGAGATGGGAGAGACCAGGAATAGCACACTAACAGGATTTTCGTATTGTTACTGTTGCGCTTGAAAGTGCACAGAAAGCCAAAGCAACATAAAACGCATTCTTTTTATCTCTCTCTCTCTCTCTGTGTGTGTGTGTGTGTGTGTGTGTGTGTGTGTGTGTGCCATGGTAAAATCAGTTTAAGTATGAGATGATACACTGTAACCCGAGCGATGTATGCCAGAAGACAAAGAGCGTCACGAGTGTATCTCACCCCTCCCCCCCCCAAAAAAACACCCCTAAAACCAAATAAAACGTAATCGCCGCTGTAACAAACTATCTCTGGGTAGGTATTGAAGGAAAGAGTCCCCTGCGATGTCCCTTTTCCTTTGATTTGTTTGGTTTAATGTTCTTTCTTAATTTTTTCCCTTGATTTTTTGGTTTAATGTTCTTTTTCCATGTTCGGGTAAGCCCCAACCTATTTTGACCCACTTACTCGTATGTCACGCTAGCCCTCTCCTGTGTGAATCTAACGGAGGGTTGACACTACATCGTATGCTACACGTCCCCTTAACACTTATCTAGTTTTACAATGAAGGATTTTGATAGTTTATCTGCTATTCTTAACATAACTCACATGTGTACAGAATTAGCTGGAAAATGCATGCAGAAGTGAACTTCAATATCTAGTACCAGTCAAATACATGTAATACTCTGAACTTGATACCTGGTATATAATATATGGTGGTGGAGAGCGAGGAGTCAATAGAAAACCTCATTTCCAACCTTCAAAAAGGTTACCACACCCTAAGTCAGGGGCGGATCTAGGTTTATTTGAAGGGGGGTCCGCAGATGCGAAGCCGACCCTCTCCCCCATCTTGGCGTGGGGTCAGGACCCCCCTGACCCCCCTAAACCCGCCACTGCTAACTTAATTCACAAAGGCCCTACTTGTCCGTGTACATACGAAAACTGATCTACATGTACATTTACTTGTTGAAATGGAGATGGAGATTCTGGTCCACGCAGTCGCAGTTCGGTTCGAGGCCGATGTTAAAAAAAAGGCAGAAAGACAAGAGAATTTGCTGCTTTGCCTGGAGCAGTATTGTGGTTTGATAGCGTGTTTACGTGCAAGACTAAAAACAACATATGCCTCATATGAAGGCCTTAATGATTGAGGCTGTTTGAAGCGGATGGTGAAAGTCGTTTCGCTGTTCCTAGAGGCCCGTGGCTTGGAAACTGATGTAGTGGGTGGGTGGTAGGAGATTATGTAAAATATGGACATTTCCACAATGAGGCACCATCATTTCCTGATGATGATAACAAATAACAATGAGGTGACAACACTTTTTTTTGCAATATGAACATGTCCAGCCTTTTTCTTTGCTTATTAAAACACATATTTTTTATAAATTTGCCCATGCAATATAACACAGGTGCTAAGCTTACTTATGCCTCAATGCAGCCGATTTTAGTGTGCATCGTAAGGCTCACCAAATTGGTGCATGGGTAAGCTCACCACCTGAGTTATAAATCATGAGCACATTTGGGAAGAAGAAAGTCAAGTTAGTTACCCGGTCCACACATTATTTTAAGTGTACTGCGTGTAAAAGAGACAAAATGCAAGAATTATCAACGAGCTCAACGTAGTTTCCATTTGGGAGTTCACCCTCTTGGTTATGTTATCTCGGTTTAGGTCTGACATAAAAAATAATCATTATATGAAGATTGCATCTGTAGGCCCTATTGCAAGGTAAACTTGTCTATATGAAATATCAGACTATAATCTGACAGAATATTATGATAAAAACAGTGTCACAGTTTGAGAGCATCGTATATCAACCGAAAAGGGATCATTTTTATGGATTGCGATGGTAAAACCCGTCTAGGGGTTCGAATTTGGAGGGTTGAACGCTAAAGGGGGAGAAGTCAATTAGAGATTCGACCGTTTTTGAATTGATGTTTCTGGCCTTCCTAGCAGAAAGGAAATATTACTTTTTCATTTTGAATAACTAATTTATTCAATATGGTATTTAGCTTTTATACCCTCGTTTACAGCTTGATGAATTGAAATGTTTCTTAAAATAAAATATCGTTTATCTCCCTGTTTGATGTCGTGTGTTACAAAAGTTTGCTAATGTTGATACTTGATACGAATTAAATTCTTTCAAAACAATATCTATTTTATAAGACCAAAAGACCGTTAAAGACTGATGCTATCTCGTGATTGGATAAAAGGAAATGTGAACTGTAAAGCTAATCATTCAACACATGTTCATGCTTTACAAGGTATACATGTTGGCCTATATGGTTAGTGATATTTAACATGGCATGGCTGAACTCTCTCTCTCTCTCTCTCTCTCTCTCTCACACACACACACACACACACACACGTGTACTTGTTTAAACATAAGCGAAACTGTCACCACCATGAAAAAGATAGGAAATGGATGTAACTTCACTTGACCTCAACCTACCCTCTACCGGGGCCACCGATTGATTTTCACTAAATATTCCCATAGCCTACACCAGTGTATGTCTGCCTCTAGATATTTTATGGCACAATTCTCTGCTGTGCTCACAGTACAGAAAAGTGCACAAAATTAATCTCAGATATAACTGTGAATATCTAGTGAAAAATCAATCTGTGACCCTAGCAATGGGTAACCTATCATAGAAGAATCTTTACCCTGTAAAATTAAGGTTATTTTAAAGTCTTGGGCTTGAAATTTTCTGGACAGATCATCAGTAAACAGCCAAAAAAGACGCTGCTAAGGATCCATAAAACCTGATAATTGACTCGACCAAAGGAGGAGGTTGTTTTCTTTGGTTTTGTTTTGTAAGTGGACAACATATACCCAACAGTTTTTTTTTCTCAAATTTGATGGACTGCATTCTAATTGTATAAAATGTCTCTCGTTCTTGCAAAATCAGTAAGAGCCTATTATGCGTTTTGATTAATGGCATGGAATTCTTTCTTTCCTCATTCAATTTTGACATATACTGTCATGTTAGGTCGTGGTCTTTAGTAACAAATATACATGTACGAATTGACATTATCATCATAATTAATAATATGGCCTGGTAATCTTGTCAACATGTTCTGATCAGGTTATGAGTATATTGATTAATATGATCCCATGTAGTTTCACTCTAAAATGTCGCTCGTTTTTCCCTCTGTTAAGCAATTCAAAAATTAAAAAAAAATTTAAAACAAAAAGGTTTTCTCTGTAATAATTCAGTTTGTTATCTACTCAATAAACGAGCTTCAACCAAGGCCCTAAGATATCATTCAAAGATGGAGCATAAGATAAAATTAATTTGAAACATTTAGCTTAAATAGCCTCCTTAATTCTATGACGGATGCGCATAAACCCTCGAGCACTCACCCCCATCACCCTGCATTATGAAGCAACGTGTAAACCTAATTACGCTTTTTTTCATCGAAAATTAAATTTCGAATTTAATCTAGCTTCCTTTTCAGATTCTCTAGGACTCAAAATGTCACAAACTTTATTTACACTTTTACTTTCCGTCAAGTTTTGTTCACGGCTCTTGAAGCAATAATCAAGGTATATTTCTTTTCAGTCTCCATCTGATTGAAACAGCACGTGTAACGACGGACAAAGTAATTTCAACTTAAAAAATCTAGGTTATAGGCTATCTCACACTTAATGAAACAAATTCCTTAACATAACTCTCAGTACCAGTTGCTGTAAACATAACCTGACGTGCGGCCAACACGTATGCCCGAAATAGGCAAGCTGCACCAAACCATGCAGAGGTAATGAAGAGAACAGGCTGATGTGATGGCAACCATATTTTATATCAATATTTTCTAAGTAAACCATTTGTTTTCTTGCCCCATTCATCCTATACATGTACCCTAGCACAAGACCTGAGAAATTTTGCTTTAAATATTTCCATCCAAATTGGATGGATCGAACGGATAGATAGCCCCTGGGCATTAGTACAAACAGAAATGCTTGTATGGCTTATACATTCACTACACTTGCGTACACCCAGGCATACATACACAAATACACAATACAACTTGGAGAAAATGGAACGGGCATCGAAAGACGTGCATGCGAACACAAGTGCGTACCCCCCCCCCCCTTCCTCAAATTGTTTTTTCTTATTTCTTCAACCCTGGTCTCTTATGGGAGTAGCTAAACAACTCTTTTTCAGTGGAAAGTGCAAAACTTTGAAAAAATCCATATAGGGCACACAACAAAGAGATTACGAGAGATGATACAATATGCCGGTTGCATTACAACCTGCATGAAAATGGAATTGCAAGGTATACAGCCAGAGTGTAGAAGATGTACAAAAATGTCCACTGTCCTGGCTTGAGAAAAGAAATTCAATCCATCCTTCCGAAAAATATATTAATTTTAATAGCCCCACAAAAAGTTTAGTCTCCTTATGGGCACAAATGATGAAGACTTTTTAAGAGGAGTTGCAAATTCCATCACGAAAAACGGACAAGAATGATCAGAATAACTAGAGTTATCACAAGGTCAACATGCTCAAACGAATATGAAAGGGCTATAGAATATGCTGTAACTACATATTGTTAAAACATGTCTGTGAAACATTTCCTTTTATTCTGTTAATAATTATAATTGTGCACCCATATATATATATATATATATATATATATATATATATATATATATATATATATATATATATATATATATATATATATATTACATTGTTATATCATAGCCGTTGTGCTTGTATCAATAAAGAAATAAAAACATTATAAAATAAATATTGATTTTTTTTGTGTCGTATCCTTTTTCACAGTATCTAATCAAAAGGGTTGGCAATAGACAAATAATAACCAAAAAAACATCCTTGTCTATGTGAAAAATTACTAGCTTGTATTTTCAGTTTTAAGTCCCAGTTTCATGTGTTGCCCATTTTTTCAGCAAACAAGTACTTCTCCTTTGGCATCTAGCTAGAATTGCTAACTGTCAGAAACAGTCTATCAAAATATTATTTAAGCTTCTCTTAGGCAGCATTATATCTGTTATGTCTGTTAATTAATGTAGGAACTCTGTTAAGGCTTATAAATAACCCCCGATGTTGAGAAAACACATCTTTTCTGTTAGATATGTGCTTGCGTGTAAATTGAAAACATGTGCGGATTCGCCAACCGTGGAGCCTGAGAGGAGGTTTTTCTAAGAGTTAAGTCTAAACTATTTGCACGCTACATTGTGGACATGGCTACCATCAGGATCAACTTGAAGAAGGTTGCTCCGTTGGCGATTCTGTTGTTGAGTTTAGGTAAGATCAATTTAAATAATGGACGTCTTAATATGGTGTAAGCAAGAGGTTACCTGAAAGGGCCGTCTTCACGTTCTAATGGGGCTCATTATTTGGGTCCACACCCTTAAAATCGTTATGGAATTGCATTATCGTTAATTCCCCTTATTTGGCTCTTTCATTTTCTCCATGATTAGCGTCCTCTTAACACAAAAGAAAGTGATAAGGTCAAGTTAAGCCAAGAAGAACTTCATCTTAAAAGAATAATAAACCAATCATTAACGCTAAATGTTATTCATAGAGCCAGATGCCTCTCAGGAAATAGTCATCTGTATTTGTCTTTTTTCGAGACAAACGTCATAAGGAATGGCCTACCGTCGGGTCAACGCTTAAATGATGGAAGATACATTTGAAAAATCTGGGTTAACATCCTGCCCAATTTGCGTGCTGTAAGACATTAAGTAGTAGTCAGCGGGAGTAATGAACCATACTGTAACGTGATTTGGTCGATTTGGTCTCACCTTAGAGAGATATGTATCCTTATTCTTAATCAATACGATGAATCATTGCCTGTTATCATTATCGAAAATTCTTTATTTTTACTGAATATGGTAAGGGGAGGCTGGGTCTTAAATAAGTAAATAAATATGAATAAACTCGGGGGATAATTTCATGAGATAATCGATTTTTCAGGACGGAAAATTCCTCTGCTAACATATTCTGTGGTTTGCTTTGTGGTCGTTTCTACTTGGATCATTAAGTTAGAATCCAGGCTCCTTAACATCGTTAACATGCAAGATTCAGTCGTCTCAGTCGGAAAGTAGCCATGCTTTAAATCGCGTTAAACAACCCAACGAACAAAAATATATATGCTTGTGTTTAGATTTATACGTGCATTCATACAGAAACAAACAACACGGTATGTAAAAAAGTAGAAAAAAAAAACTGAAAGATACGTAATCCCAATTTCTTGTACATATTAACTGCAAATAAAGGTAGAAGTTATCATGAAATTTAGGTCTTTGGTTGTCTATTATTTTTGGTTGTCTACAGTACAGGTGCACACATACGTTTTCACCTCATCAGGCAATACATTTTGTCAAGTCACCAGCACTAGACATTAACTCCCCATTAAAGGGCTGGTCTTGCACTCAAAGGAGGGACAAGTAACGCTTGCTTCGATCGTATCTGCACCAAAGGTGCAGCGAAAGGGCCATTACCCAAATGAGCCGCACCGAACCATGACTGGATAAAGACCTCCTAATGTCTCCTCTTAGATAAATGGAAAAACAAATGTAAACAACCGAGGCACCCATCATGACTTGCAGTTCTGGATGAAAATAACATTTCAAGAAATAATGCTGTCATTTTTTTCTGTGCCTCTGAATGAATGTATGAAAGGCTGAATGAGAAAAAAATTATGTCCCTCTTATGTCCGGACCAATAACAGTATTAAGTACCCTTCACACGGTACATGTAGGCCCTATGCCAGAATATATAATTCCTTACATAATTTTCATAAATGTCGATGTAGTTAGTTGATATCTCGGCAACTTTTGGCAAATAAAAGGAAAGGCCCAATACACTTTCACTAGACCCGAGTTATTTACGTTGTAATCGCATGTGCATCACAGCCCTTGCTTGTTTTTACATCTGTTTGACACACAGTTTCCTCATACTTTGGTGGAATGTCATTTTCTGTTGTTCCGTACAGAGAGACCACCGATTGTAAAGAAGACTGCCGATTGTACTCGGGTGTTTTTCCAGTCTTAACAGCAGTGTTAAAGTCTAGGCTGAGGTCTCTCGTGGTATAAACATTACCAATGCCATTTCCGTTGAAAAGAATGAAGATTCTTTGTTGGAGATCCGACTGGCAGAATACTAGACCGCCATCGGAAGTAGTATCTATCGCTACAAAGGATGGATTCGAGACACCGCTCCTCATATATACAGAATGTTCATTAGCGCTCTCTTCGTCGCTATTTGCCATACTAGTCTCGTCACTGTCGCTGTTATAATCATTAGGCTTACTTTTCAAGCAGTAACTGCAAGCCCCTCCTCGAATACACATCATTATCCCAGTAAGGTATAAGAATAAGGCACCACAAAAAATAATAGGTCCGAGAGCGGTCCCTGGTACAGAGATCAGTATTATACCAACTCCTGCCAATGTACAGAGCGTTCCAAGAGCAAAACAAATGAGAGAAGCGTTGATCAGAAATGGGCTGAATTCATATTTTGGTCGCTCCGAACTTTCTTCATCTATCGAATGCCCACAACAGCACCGCATGTCTATTGTCTATTTTTCCTGCTAATAAGTTTTCGTACAAAGTTCACCAGCGATTCAGGACTACTGTATCTTCGATATACGGAGATATCCAAATACTGGAGTTTTTTTCTCCTTCAGGTGTTGTTGATCTGATAGTCCCATTGTTATCTTTCCTTATATAGGCCTACTGCCATTTTTGCCTGCGCACATGGCTTAATGGGTGACATAGTGTGCTTAAAGTCATAACTACCAGGTCGCACGCACCCCTACGCCTCCCGCTAACGTCATCGAACCTAAAAAAGGATGAACACTCATGATCGTCAAAATAACGCTAAGTCAGAGTTGTTTATTTTATTTCTTCTCAACAGGCACAAAAGCCGTAATGTGTGTTATGGCTAACGTCTAAAAATGCTTGCTTTATCTATTCCTTATGATATATACAGTTCAGTATAGTTAAGTATACATTTTTTAAACAGTTAAATTTTCATACTCGCTATCCTTTCCATGGCCGTAGGATAGTTTTCACTTTCGTCAACTTATGTCATCAATCAAATGCTGCGTGATAATGTCCGCTTCTGTATGCTCGTTTGTGATGTCAATGAAAGACAAATGAATACTAATTTAAGTCTTTTTTCATTTTGCTGTCCATATTCACAGCTGAATATTTCCAAAATAACAGATAAAGGACAGTCCGGCATGGCAGCTACTTTTAATTTGCAATGTGTAGACATCCATCCTGTAAATTTCCTTTATGAGCTGACTCTCTGAACGTGTCTTTATTCCTCTTTTATCCATCTTTTTATTGTTAATATACCAGTAATTGTGCTTCAACTTATTCTTATATCTTGTACTCTCTCTCTCTCTCTCTCTCTCTCTCTCTCTCTCTGAATAATTATATCTCCTTTATTTTATTCTGAATAAAAGTATACTTGGGATTTTGGCGAGAATTCTTTCTCATAATTTTATATTACTTACGAAACTTGACTCTCATTCGTTCGCTCGCTAGCTAGACTTCCATACTCAAAATTGCTCTACTAAGAATATGTTTTTGAATCTTACTTTTTCTATATTGGGCTGAAGGCAAGGAAATTGTACTACAACATGCATTCTTTATATTTTAACGGCGCGCAAAACTGCATTTCTTAAAACAGAGCTGTAATTACATGTCTTAAAAAGGATTTAACGTGTCTTTAGACATTAATACAGTATATATGAATAGAAAAAAGTGGGAGTTCAAAATTGGAATATTACTAGTCTTTTCACATGCACTCTCTCTCGAAGCAATAAAAGAATAGTCTAGATCATTTAACACAATGGATTTATATGTACATTCTGGATCCCATGCTAAGTTTTAAACGCACGCTGAATGTTCTGGCTGGCAGTTCCTTTTAATATCCAATTACATTTTGATAATGTACATCTTAAATCGGTAAAATACAGACATATTTTTAAAACAATCAAAATTTTCATTTGAAAATTTCACGATTTCACTATTAAACAAGGGCGTATCCTTCCAACAACAGGGAGAATGCAGGAAAGAAAAGAGAAAAAAGAAAAGAAAATGTATGGATTAGAGAAATAGAAATGAACCAATGAGAACGAAAAAAAAAAACAGGTTCTATAAAAAGATGTGCGTGATATGGTATCAATATGCTCGTTTATAAAAAATATGTCATCTTACACGTCACTAGTCTCATGCCATTTGAAAGCACTTCATATTCTGATTTTTTTTCTTTTTTATGGATTCAGTTTCAATATGTTGGAATCTAACAAACATTTTCCATCTTTAGCGTTTGTGGTCGGGCAAGCACGCAGAGGTCGGAATCGCACTCTCACTAAAGTCGCATTCTCTGCAAAGCTCCGGCATGACTACAAAAATCTGGGAATTGGACAAGGCATCATATTTGAGGAAGTGGTGACGAATGTTGGCAACGGTTTCCATGCATACACAGGTGGGTGATTTACATAACATCAAGTCTTGTCAAATTCTGCTTGTTTTATTAATTCTTCCTCTCGTCTGAAAAATAAATTGTCGAAGGTGTGAAGCTACTGTATGGGTTGCGGATCTCACACCAAAGTTTTCATTTTCACTCACACCTTAATTAGCAACAATACTTTTCTTAAAGGAAGTGATTAGCTTAAATTCATATGATCCTTCGTTAACCTAATGAGCTTTCGATTTTTCCACTCTTCCGCTACGGCGTATGTATATGTAATGCGCATTCTTCCGAGTCCGACCAATGTTACACGTACAACATCCAGTCTTGTCAAATTCTGCTTGTTTTATTAATTCTTCCTTTCGTCTGAAAAATAAGCTACTGTATGGGTTGCGGATATCACACCAAAGTTTTCATTTTCACTCACACCTTAATTAGCAACAATACTTTTCTTAAAGGAAGTGATTAGCTTTAATTCATATGATCCTTCGTAAACCTAATGAGCCTTCGATTTTTCTACTCCTCCGCTACAGCGTATGTATATGTAACGCGCAGTCTTCCGACCAATGTTACGTGTACATGTAGCTAAAAGTGACGCTCGTGATAGAAGGCCAGAGTGTATAGAATATTTGGCCATAAGAATTTGTATAAATCTGCAAGAAAAGGACAAAGAATTTTATACAAATCACCGGGACCACCCGCTTCCACACATGTACGCTCACATGTACTCGAATGTACTAAAATGCTCATATCACTGGTTTATTATATCTATATATGCATGTGATTCAAATAATGTTTGCATGCAAATGAGTTTGTGCAGTGAGCCTTTTTTCCTCATTTCAAAATGTTTCCTGAAGAATTGAGCAAGTACTTCGTCTCAAATGCCTTTATTCACGTTTATGTGATATATAGGTCATAGCTTAAAAAAAAAAGAATTAAGTTTCGAAAACCATCCTTAGGTTCAAAGACAACGGTGTCTATATTGCTTGAGTCAGTTTAATAGTAGGCCTACTGGGTAGAGTCTACATGCCAGGCCAGTGGAAACCTTTAGTCAATGTAAATACAAAAGTTGAACAAATCTTGTATCATATGCCAATGCCTTGCATTAACATGTGCATGGCATGACTGTTTTTCATTGGTACGGGATATTACCCGAGCTATGCAGCCGAGGCAATTATATTTCAGGGATCATTGAAAACATACGATAGCTTCTTATCATATCCATAGGCCAAGAAGCGTTGAATAGCATTAATGCAACAATAGAATTAATGCAACAATTATCTGTTTCTACTTGATCTGACTTGGAACAGATATGTGTATGTCCTTAAATAACTATTAACTGGAAGCTGTGCCCTGATTACGATTCAACCACGAATCCTGAAATTTGTCAATTCCTGGCGATTCGTGGGATTCGTGGTCTGTGTGAAATAGGGGCATAACACAGAGAGACACACTGCATTGTAAAAAAAAAACTTTTTAAAATTCCTTAAAGAAAAATTACCAAGGTATCGTACTACATGTAGTCTTATGTTAAAAAAAACAGTGGGACGTTTTCATCATTTTAATATTAACATTTTAAGCAACTCACCAGTATGCTCTTTTGGAACAGGTGTAAATAAGTGCAGATGTACACGTGTAAAGCCTAGGGCCCAACTACGTTTTGGACACACGGTTTTTAGGTTCCTTGCGTCCGGTAAGTAATTGGTGATAAGTTTCTACGTCCTCCAAAAGTCGCACGATGGACGTGCTGCTCAGGCACGAACTCCCACTTTTGCCCCATTATTTTGGCCGTAGACCACACGTAGCAGCCCGTACGTTCGGTTGGGACCTAGGCTTTAAAATTTTGTATTAGGTGAGCAGCTTGTAATAACCAGCTTCGGTTACCGACCAGTTAACAAGGTCTTTGGCATTAATGTTCGGGGCTTATTGATGTGGCTATCTAATTAAAAAAAAAAAAAAAAAAAAAAAAAAAAAAAAACAGCTGCAAAGCATTGTTTCAGTTGCAAAAATAATCGTATAGGTAGAATGTGCCATTATACCAAATCTCAAGCTGTACATTAGTTCTTCATCCGTAGCTCAGTAGGTCTTGACTGCGTATCCAAGATGTCTCGGTACGTCCCCGAAGACGACATGACACCTTTTCATTCACGTAACACTTTTAGTTCTTAACTTCTCTCCAAGAAGTCATTCTATTAATGATCACAAATGGTCGACTGGATTACAGCAGCCTTTTCCTGTGTAGAAATTATGATGTGATGACCGAAGACGACACGACAACTTTCCGCCCACGCAACACTTTCTGTTCTTAACTTCTCTTCGGGAAGTCATTCTGTAAATGATCACAAATGGTCGACTGGATTACAGCAGGTCTTTTCCTGTGTAGAAATTATTGTGATGACCGAAGACGACAGGACAATTTTTCACCCACGTGACACTTTTTGTTCTTAACTTCTCTCCGAGAAGTCATTCTGCCCTTAATGATCATAAATGGTCGACTGGGTTACAGCAGGCCTTTTCCTGTGTAGAAATTATGATGTGATAACCGATATGACGCCAGTATCAGTATTAATTTAGCGAAATTAAAGGGTTTTTGCGTGGTTCCGGCAATATACTTGGAATCAAGATAGGAAACATATGCACTCTTTTACCAAGGCAACACTATACGGGTACGTTCACAAAGAACGAGTCAAGTGTGCCGGTTTTCCTGTACAGACGGTGTTAACAGTTAATGATTGGAAAATGAGTGGAAAACGAGCTTTGACGTGGTAAATCTAGCCATTGTTGGTTGCTTTTCAAATCCCACTGACATCGGATCTGTAGGTCAAGCATTCCCCAAGAACTTCTAAAATCTGACCAAGTACCCTGAACAAGTTGACACAAAAATAATATAAACGCTTTCGAAGTCGCTTCGAAGAGTGATTACAAAAGGATTATTATTCTGTTTCATACCACAGATGAAATTTACGGGAAAACGTGTGCCAAGTTGATATACCTTGACACGTAATTAGGCCTACTGAATCACTGTTACCAGATACAAATGAATAGTGAAATATGTCTCTTCCTCTGCTTTTAATTGTATTAAGAGGCTTGTCTTTAGATCTGTTTCTACTGTAGCTGTCATTAACATCGGTTTAAAACGTGTGTAAAGTGGTATAGCTTAACAAGTAATTACAATAACAAGTAATTAAAATAATTACACTATAATCAGATACAAATGAGTAATGGATTATGACTACATGAACGTGTTTAATAATAGAATCTAATTCTCTGAAAATCCTGTTGTATAACCTTCCAGACAACGTAATTACTGCGTCATTACTTAAGAAAAAAAGGTGTTACCAAATTTAGTTTTTTCGCCTGTTCTTCAACAACCACTTTAAAATCAATCATAACAGGCTACAACAGTTTACGATGGACACTAATCATGAACCTTTCCCAACTTTGAAAAGGGCTAAAAAAGCAAAAAAAAAAAAAAAAAAGACCAGAGCGGGACCCAGGTGAAACTGGAAACTCGGCTTGATTTGAAACCCCATCATTCATATCACGTTATGATTTACCAGGTATATTCAACCCCGTTATTCACAGACATATTAACTAAATTCACGTAAATCCTGCATGTACACACTTGAAGCAGTGTCGATGGTGCATAAATCGTTGATTAATTTAGTTAATCAACGAGATGACATAAATTTCTTTATGCCCCTATTCCACACCGACTACGAATTCCACGAACCGCCAGGAATTGATAAATTTTAGAAATCAGGAGAAATCGTGGAATTTTGCACGTTTCTGGTAGAAATCTTTTCACTGCTTTAGCTTCGCTTCCAAAATGGATGTTCAACAGAAAGCAGCTATAATGCTGAATCTGTAACTGGAGTATGAACATCAAATGGTGATAAATAGAAGTCTGTTTCGAAACTTCTGTGCCGATTTCACGATCTCTCAAGAATTGCAATAATTGACTGAGAATAAATAAGAATTTTAAGAGCTGAGAGCTTAAAGGATTTATCACGATTAAAGTAATAACCATGGGATTTATCAATTCTTGGCGGTTCGTGCAATTTGTGGTCGGTGTGGAACAGGGGCATCATTTTATATATGAAATTTTTGAGGACGAACACCCTGAAATGAAACCTAACATTTGCATTTTTGTGATACACTATCATATCAAATGTAGGTTGCCGAGGAAATTAGAAATAAATGTCAGACTCTCAGCGACTAGCCTTTTACCTTGTGCTCGTAGAGTAAACGGATGACATTTCTCAGGGACTTGGCACTCCAACAGCTAATTATCATTTTCCCTATCCATTTCAGGTGTATTTTCTTGCCCAGTGGGTGGAACGTATTTTTTCACGGTCAATCTCGTCAGTTCATCCGTCTCGAAGGACTTTGAAAAGCGGACTGAGGTCAGCTTGGTCTACTTTGGCTATACGAAGATGGTCGTTCCCGTGATCAACAACGGCGACCACAACTCCGGCGGAAACAGCGTGATCTTTCATTGCCGTACCGGTGGAGTGGTGCAACTACTGGTCAGCTACGCAGACAACGATAACGATGCTATTGTCAGCCAGAGATATAGTTCCTTCTCTGGGTATTTACTATTTCCTGATGATTAAAGTTTTTTAACTACCGGTTTCATATGGGGGGCAATTAAGAACTACAGCAAGCACCGTCTCCTGCGTCAGTCAAAGACTCAGCTGCTAATCCCCCAATCTTATCATTTTTGGAGTAGTTAAAGAGACACGAATATGCTTTTGTCGTTTTACGTGTTGAACTATTGTTTATAAATGCAATACATAAACATATCGTTAATGCGTTTGAAATATCAAACCTCAAACTCTATGCATAAAAATCGTCCTAGCTGTTTAATCACTAAGATTTATTTAATCAGGATTTTGAATAAATTTGTCCAAATTCACTTCTGCCTTTTCTTCTGATTAACGACTGAACATTTAACTCCAACCACAGGTTGGCCGAAATATAATGTTGAGGAGTGTTACACGTGTAGTTTGGATAGGACAAATTTGAGATTCTGCCCTACCCTATCTTCCGAAAATAAAAGTTTAATGGTGGGGCCAATTCTATTTCGTTTGTGGAAAACAAAATGTTTTAGAGTTACGGTAATCACATACAAGATTCCAAGGGCGTTTTGAAAAAAATGACCACACGAGGTCTCTTAAATGGTTAAACTTGCTACGAGTATTACTTTTTTTGTATAAAATTGACCATCTTTTACGATAAAAAGAGCAGTTAAAAATCTGTAATATTCATCTACATGAAACTGCCCACTTGCTGCAATTAACTGCACGTTCAGAACGTCTTCGGAAACTGACAGGACGCGAGATAGCCTAAGGGTCGAAGTTGGCCAGAAATAGTGACTTTATACCAGAATACATTTACATATATGTTAATAACGTCGTACCGAAACTCTCTAATGATGGGGACAGTTTGTCAGAACGTCAAAAACATCCTCTGGTTCAAATGTCCTCTTGGCCCGAAAATCATAAGAGCTACATTCAAATGATTATTGCATTATTATTTTTATTTCACGAGAGATTTCAAACAAAGTTTAGAAGAGAAAAAATGGGTGGTGTGATTATCAGTTGTAACTTAAATCACCAACATTACTAGGTTTAAATTAAAGTAATGAGGCAACGAACCTGTTTTTCTGAAGAGCAGAAACGTTGCTTCACACGCAGTTCTTCCGTCAGAAAAACAGAAAAGATGTAAGACGGATTTCTATTTTACGGGAACAAGCACAATCCAAATGCAAATGGTATAAAAGAAAGAAATCCCCAGTCCATGATTTGGGTTATTAAACGACTCACAAACAAGATTCTTTAAACAACGAGGCAGGACTCTGGATGTTGAACGGAAATGAAATTATCTGAATGCTTTTGAAGAAAGGTCTTCTTTTTTTCAGTCACCAGGGAGTATCCGTGCTCTTACATTTCTATCTTATGCCTTCCTGAACGCTTATTGAACTAAACGACGCATCAAATAATCCTACCGTTCAATAGAGGTTGTTCAGATTTAGTCACGTCTCAAGAATTGAGCGTGATTAGGATAATAGATGGTATACAATGTATGGCACCGGATATTTGACATCTAAACTTAGATTCATTCAAGTGTACCGGTAGATAGCTTGAGATACATTACACCTGTATTTTGAATGCAGTTCTGTAATTCTGCTGAACTGCTCTTGCTTACTAGGCCATTCGGAGTATTTATATTTGTGCGTGCTTATATGGGTGATAAAATTGATATTGTGGTTTATAATGTAGCTGCGCGGCTTCTAATTAGTGATTTGTTTCTCTCGACGCGTTCGTTTAGAAGACAGCAGGGATTAAAGCATGTCTTATTGGGTGGATTAGTTTCTTGTATGATCAGTATGATGGCACTACCGAATGCAAAGCAGTACTATTTTAAGTTTAGTAGAGACTCTAGATGACAAAAATATGCAATAAGACGTGGAGGAATAGTTCATAAGCATTCGGTAAATCAGTAATGGGTTCATCAATCAGTTGAACATATTTCCCAAATGGCCGTTTTCTGAAACAATTGCCGCTCTCAACGCATCTAAAACACCGACCCTTCTGTTTGCCTGTTATCTAGGATGATTCTATTCAAGGACTTGTAATAGGAAAATATCGATCAACAAGTCTTATACACTAGGAATCTATCACTTCATTATTGATCCAAAGAGCAAGGAACATCCTGAGTAGTTTCTTGGCGAATATTTTTTTCCTGCAAGAACATGTGCTGAAGTACTGCAGTATAGCGGCGACAGTAATCAAGTGGGCAACTTGAACACTCACCATATCCTTCGTATATGACGAAACCATTTTGAGGTTTAATAAGCTTTTACTTGAAACCAAATGTTTTAGAAAGTTCTCACCAATTTCGTTTAGCCAAACGAACTATCCGCGAAACATGTGGGTTACTTATATAACTTTTTTTTTGCTTTCATTAAACGACCACCCGTTATCATCTCCTTTGCATGTAAACTTCTGACATTGTATCAGCGCGCTGCTGCTCCCAAAGCGATTGTGAAAACCAATATATTATGTTAAAACTTAAAAGCATATGTTTCTTCTGAGTAATGCTGCAATAAATTATAACTCCAAAGACTTTACTTAACAACTTCTAACAGTGTGTATTACGCCATCACAGAAGTGCAAGGTGGCACTAAGAATAGTGCCCCTTTCTCAGAGAATGAATTCTTAGCACGGCTAAATACTGCTTTTATATACATGTGTAGGTCTATTGATATCAACAGTATACATGTAACTTTATACCTAACATCGAGTCAACGATACGCAAAAAAGTAGGCCCTATTAAGACAAATTCTATAGCTTCATCTATAAAAATAAAGATCAAACTTGCTTCTGGGTCACAGTAGTTAGATGGGTATTTTTCCAGATCATAGTAACAGTTCAAGTAACATGCAAAGAGAAGCCAATTATCTAGAACGGCATCCATCATTTGCGTGCTTCAAAAGCTCGTGATTATCATGCCCAAGGAATAGTTACATGTAGGCCCTACAAGTAGCCTAAGGCTTATCTGAGCTAAGATTTGCCAAATCATCTCGCCTAATACATTTTAATTAATAGCAAATCAAATGAGCTTAGCATTTACTAATAAGCTTGCTCTTTTTACAATCGATATCCCAGTATCAAAGGCGTCTGTGTCATGTTGACATCCACGTAACCCACGTGACAAATAAGGCACCATACGGTATACTTACACCATAATTTGCGTGCTTCAAAAGCTTGTGAATGCCATGTCCATGGAATAGTTACACGTACAAGTAATGCTGATCTGAGCTAAGACAGATTTACAAAATCACTTTGTCTAATATATTATAATTAACTGCAAATCAAATAGGCTTTACATTTTACTAATTAGCTTGCCTTTTACTAATAAGCTTGCGATTTCCAGTATCAGTTACATCTGCGTCATGTTGACGTCATCCACGTAACGCAGGTGACTAATGAGGCACCATACGTATACTTACACTTACACTGATATACTGTACAGCCTTACAATTTGTACAAGGCGACGGAAAATATCTTACATTTACACTTGCAGAGTATACAATATTTAGGCCTACTAGTACACAACGAAAGTCACTCATGATTAGATAACTTATTCAATTTTTTTCACCCAGTTATAGAAGGCAAGCTTTGTTTGACAAAATTTCGTAGAAAAGAAAACCGCCTAATCACACCAAGATTGACCTTAAAATATACAATTGAAGTAGACTAAATGGTACTTGGATACAATCTTACACTACATCTAATTTAAAACGAGTTTTTCAGTGAATAAATGTCAATGAATCACATTGTGTTTTCTTAAAGTGTACCAGAAATATTATTGGCATTCTGAGATACATATATATAACTTCAATGAATCCTTGGATGAAATAGAAAAATACGTAGAATGCGTATAAATGGACATTGGCAAGGCTGGAGTAAATAAATACGCACTTTCCTACAAAAATAATTTAGCGAAATAGATAATCTGTTGTGAAACAATGTAGTAACGACTGAAGCATTGCCCCACTGTATATATGTTGATACACTTTTCCGTTGTCAGTAAAAGAGACAACGTTTGACTCCCAGATCCTATGTTGCCTCCTTTGCAGGCAATGCGAACTTCAACATACAATTCATTTGTTAAGACGTAGACGTCGATGGAGGTCGTGGTGCTATTTTGTAAATAAGTTTTTTCAACGTGCCTCCACTGGGGTCTGTTAATACCTTGTACTCATTTTCTTTGCGGTGCTGCTTGTCACTTTTGTTTGGTATACTTCTGTGGGACACCAACCTTGCTGTACTACATGTACTACTATCACTATATGCGCTATATTTTCGGCTTTGGCTGTCAACGAACGAAAACTCTGTTTCGGCTCCTGGCGAATTAGGCCATTCCTTCTGAAGGGAAAGAGGCGGAGTATTAGGACTAGACAAGCTTGTAGATTTTACACCCACCCCTTTGTTTTCCTGCTCCAGCCATTCTGGGCGTTTGTTCATCAGTCTAGAAGTGCTGTTCCCACTGCTGCTACTGGTGCTGTTTTCCCTGCACTCTATGATCTGGTTCTGGTTGGTACCCGAAGACATTCGGGAAGATTTCGATGTTCTACGAAATATAAACTGCCCTCGGGAGTTGTTGGAACATGTTGTCTGCTGGGGTCTTCTAGCTTTGAAGCAACATCGGAGAAATTCACGCTTAAAATCGATCGAGAACATGCCTGGAAGAGAGAAAGTGAAGTCAAGTTCAACGTCTGGGCTACCAGAACGCGTCAGGCAGGCCGCAAACCCATTTCAGCACCATCTGTGCCATGGGTCTGACTTCTAGCAGAATCTAGCATTAGAGGCCAGACAGTCGCCTTGGTTGGTGGAAATGGGGCATACCATGGATTGCAAGCGCCTTGGAGGACGACGTGCCCGTGCGGTACAGTTGATTCTTAAACCAACAGCCACATTTTCGCATCTCCCGCCGAAATGTCGTGGTGAACATTCCTGAAAGTAAATAAAGCCGGGTGGAAAAGCCAAATAAACTTCATGCCACAATAAAATCATGCACACTACAACAATTAAAGACCAAGTACAAAACGAACAACAAAGCAGGAGTCCTAATAAACAGCTTCATGAACTAGATCAGCAACAACATAATATCTAGTAAATTTAACAACACCTGCAAAGTACACTTTGGTAGGTCCTAATAGGTAAATTCGCTTCCTGCTGCTATTAACTAAATTCAATTAATTGGACGCGAGGAGCTCCGCTTAGCATACTCAGTCTCTCATGGTGTGCCGGTAAAGCTGTATCATTAAAGTATACCGGTCCATGTGAAAAGGGCCTGCATAGTCGCTGGAAGTTGGGTTCTTTTTTTGTTAACGCACGTTTACGCCTGGGATAAGGAAGACTACCTGAGGGTAGCATACTGTGCCTGTGGTGCACCGTTTACTAAAAGAACTAAGCTATGACTACTAAACAAAATCGGGTAAGAAATACTGAAATCGACTCCCGAAGTGCAACCTTACTGTACTTCAACAACCTCCCCTCCACCTCCCCCCCCCCAAAAAAAAAAGAAGAAGAATTTTAATGTGGTCAATATTCCTAAATAAGACTGCTTGACAAATTGTGATCACATATATTTAATAAAATATTTTTAAAATTCAGGTACTAAACCCTGAAATACACGGATTGTAAATTGATCTAAGTTTGAATCTGTACATGGGTGATGGGTGGTGGGGGGGGGGGGAGGAAATGATCACCATCTCCCCTGGGGTTTTAAATTACAACATCTCATTCTGCCACTCATTTGATTGTTAAGTTTTAAAAAACAGCAAACAGATGCTTGTTTTGAATGTCGCCGATTTCTAAAGATTTTAACTCCCACATGTTCTTATTTTAAATTTGTCAACAATGTTGCAATATTTAATTCGACAAATATCATATTGATTTTTCATAGATAACACTTTGGCTCTGAGTCCAGCTTAACGTTATTAAATTCGTCCTGCAAAAATAGCTTTTTTGTCCAAAACTGTCAATATCGGTGTCACACTGTTCCAAATTTGACACCAGGTGGACACACGATAAAGTCGGGTCGTCTTTAGCCATCGTAGGATTGTCATTGGAGTTTCTCAGGCTCCATCAGTAACTTCGTGAGGGTGGTGCCATACTGTCTCAAAATTGATATCAGACGGCAAGGTCCAAACCCAGATAAAGTCCGGCGCCTAGAGAAGGCCACGCGGTAGCACCCAAAACACACACGGGATGTAACATGCATATATATATATATGCATGAAGATATTATTTCTACAGTAGTTTACATCCACAGGAAAATACAAAGATCTCAAGAAGTAATTAGCCAATTCTCCTCTGTAAAGGTGTTCAAGACTAACTGAGAAAATTGCTCAGAGGTTGCTCTATTATACGCCCACGTCTCCATGGCACATGGGAAACGTTTGACCGACTTAAATGATTTGATTTGTTTTTGCCGACATCGCGGTACCATCTCGATGGCTTCGTACTAAAATACCATGGCTAGATGACGATATTGCAAGTATTTCACGTAGTTGTATTGTCTTCCTCATACAATAGGCCAGCTTCGTACTATCTTCCTGAGCTGAAAAAGGCCTGATGGCACCAATGATCACACGAAGGAAAGACCAAGATGGCACGATTTGCGAGATTCCCTCACGATGACTTTACGAAGGCTTTAATGGACACGCGAAGTCAACACGAATATAAAGTTAGCCTGAGAATTCCACCGGAGTTCATACAGGATACAATGGCCCTAAAGAATGATCCCATCTTTTTACAATCAGTGCCGAATTTGATAATTTTCTTTTGTGGTAGAAAGCACTTATAAAATGGAAATGCAGCGATGTGCGGAACTCTGCGTACAATGTTTCCAATGTTTTAGCGTCTTAAAAACGTGTAAATCTGCCGCATTTCGAGATTGGGTTTCTTAGAATTCCATACACCTTTGACAACATAGTCATCAGATTACATGTAACAATTATCAAGGGCAGAGATAATTTCAGGGAAAATCTTTCCTAGCCTTGCATATGATATTTATCGCTAAATTGTGACTATATCATATTATCACAAGCCCATTAACCTGTGGTTGCCTGTAACGTGACGATGATTTACCTAACATGAACCTGTTCTGTGAAGTTTAAGCTGCCAAAGGTCCCGTTGCACTCTGAGGGTTGAATTCTTTACTGTGTTTTTTTCACATGCCATCTTTATACCAAGTAATTACAATAACGCACAGCCAATAACGACATTTATTTACTGGTGCAAGCGAGAGCAATGGTGGAAGAACACAAACGAGCAAAAAGTTCAAAATAGGATGTGTGACTAAACAGACAAAGTAGCAAACCGAAGAAAAGGAAATAAAGAGGAACAGAAAAAAGGCAGCTTAGAACTATTTTGTTCAAGTGTCAAAGTCTGATATATACCATCATAACGGTGTCGTGTTAATCCCGGTAGTCACAATAATGTCACAAGATATTACAAGTCTCACATTAAGCTATAGCAATCATGAAGGCATTACGTGGCATTGTCGAAACATCAAAACAATTCCACAGCATAAACTTAAAGTATTGGTTAAAATGGGGAAACATATTTGACCTGTAGCTTCATGGAATCCTAGATTGGTTAAAATGAATCATGCAAAATAAAACATATTAATTGCTTTTCATAAGGAAATAAGAGGAAAGTCTTACCATATACGACCGGATTGATGCAAGAGTTTGACACAGCTAATAGAAACATCGCACGTTGTATCTTTGAGTCGACCTTCTTTGCTGATTCACTGAAAGTAAAAAAAAATGTATATATATAGACATATTCATCACTTATGACAAGGTCAATCTAGTATGTTTGATTGCAATCTCCGTAAGTCTAATATTTGGACTTTCGAGCAGCGTTCCTGCGAGAGAAATTATTATCAGATAAGGTCGAAGATAGGCGTTATCCGACGAACTTATTGATTATCCAGACAAAAAGAGCGTATTAGCAGGGCGTGTGTTTATTCTTTAAAATATAAGACAACAGTATAGCAAATATAAAGCAAATTTAAATAAATAAAATGCATTTGTTTATAACATTCAGTGTACATCTGCTTTTTGGCAGTGTTTGAGCTTTAAAGATTGGGACCCATAACAGAGCCAGACACGGGCACGTTGCAAGAACACGTTTGATCTCGTCGCGATGGACACTCACAGGTGTAGGGTCAGAACCGAGCCTCTCGGAAACAATTTAGAGTCAAGGGACATGGTTTGGTCCGAGGAGCAGAGTAGAGCCGTAACAGACGTACATGTATGCATTTTTATACTACTTACACAGACAAACTGAAAATGGACGGGTATTAAAAAGTGTCGGGATAGGTGTATGGGGCGAGGAACAACAATATTAAATGGCATATAAAATGAATTTGAACAAATCATATTGACGAGGTTCAGAAATAAAATTAAATGAAATATTGACATTGATCATCTAGGGACGTTTCGCACCAATTCGCAACGTTTTGAGTTTAAGACCAAAGGGTGAAGTTGCATTTCGCATTATGTTTAAACTGCCGGCCATAAACCAAGCCATCCTTTAAAAAGAACCTTTAAACCTTTCACTTTTCTAGACTGAAAGGAACAGGTCTTACTATCAAGTTATAGCCACTTGACTCCATGTATAACACATGACAATGGGGACATGACCACCGGTACGTTGTTTTTATATATACCAGTATTAGTTCTAAAGCAATTATTATGTCGCGCTCAATAAATGCACAAATTATACTATATAGCCACATTGTGCTAAATAACATATATGACTTTGCTGTAAAAGAACTGTTATACATAGTCATAAAGTCTATAATCATTAAACATCTTTTATACCCCATTTAGATAGACACATCGTTCTAGTAGGGTCCACCCAATTTTTTTGGGAATTCTCGCAAAGTGCAATCAGTGGAATCACCTATATTGTCTGACAAGCTTCGTCAAGCAACTAGGGGTAATTAAGCCAACTGCACACTAAAGATAATTACTCCCTTCCGTGTCATTTATTAAAGCCTATTACAGGATACTGTAAGCGTTTGCCAAAAACTCCTTATTTATTGCTTCTCATACATAGGTTGAGATAAGTTAAAATAAGCATAGATGGAAGTGATATCTGACAAACAGAAATGTTTCTCAGGATGTAAGTTGCAACAAATTGAGCCTTTTCATTGCATATCGATAAAATCATGTGAATGCAAAGTGTAAATACTTACCTATCAAACCAAAACCACGCAGATATGACGTAGTAAGGAGTCCAGCATATCACGAAAAACAGTACTAGAAGAAGAATGAGAAAAAATTAAACATTTTTTGACATTTCAATATATATTGATCTTCTGAAACATGGTAAATGAAGAAAGGAATTTTGTATGTTTAATTCAAAACTAAGTCTGCATATTTCAGGTTCACCAATATTTGTAAGCCATTCTAAGCCATCAAAACCGAAAGGTGTCATTGAATCAGACAAATCTATTTTCTCGCTTTCATACTCGTGTACAAAATAAAAAAATCTAGTTACACGCCTCTAGCCAATTTGATCATCCTTTCACACACGAGCACACTTAACAATTTTAACAGTCAGAAATATCTGCTAGCTATTCATATTTCTAAAATTATTTTCCCCAAATCATAATCTTAGCGTTGTGATTGATTACTAGTACATGTTTTTGATATAAGATATCCTAAACATCCAAACATAACAATTTATAAAAACATCAAGACTTGAGTTCACGCACCGAGGCATAAAATGGTAAGAGGCAGTAGTGTAAGAGCATTTATAAATACATTGCTTTGAATAAAAAAATAATAATAAAAAGTGAAAATCACATTAGGTATCTAGTAGGGTACATGTGAGTATCGAAAGTGCGATCAAAACCCATTTTACGATCAATTTCGCAGTAATAATATGCCTCCTTTGCCTTAAAGTTCAGTGCTTAATCAGGGGTGCTCTTACCCGAACCACAATAAGCCGTTATATAAAATGGAGTCAGTTAGTAAATAGCTGTTTAAATTATATAGGCCTAAGTATTAATGATCATATTTGATAGAAAATTTGTTGAATTGAATATTATTATTAATTATAACCTTGGAAGAATCTGGCAAAGACGAGCGCCGGTTCTGCTTAATGGTTATACTGGTACATTTATTTCGCAACACAGCATCACCTATATAGCGTCATAGATGAGCACATCTGCATCTGTATTTAAATCATACTTCACGAACTGTATGTTAAGTAAGATGTTTATCTTAACAATTCGATTTGAGCCGTGTGCACTCGCATTTTTTGTGCGACAGGATGGCTTGTTGTAGTCAAGTATCTTGGCATGAAAATTCAATAACACAACTATGTGAAAATACTGCAAAACTATTCGAGTCCTTCTAACAAACATGTTGCAATTTAAAAGAAACACAGTGCTCTTCAATACACTCCAAAATGTTTGTGTTTCGTTTTCCACATTTTAACACGATGTTTTTTGTTTATGTTTCCCAGAAGACAGAGAGCGTGTTTAAAAGGTTTTAGTAGTTGTGACGGAAACGCTTGATTTAATTACCTAGAAACCCTATTAACACTGAAATCATTCTGGATAAATGGGGAGGAGTTTGGAATAAATACGCACGCTCAGATATTATTAAAAAGACTTTGTAAAACAATTGATCTTCTTAGACATATACAAAAAATGCCAATTGAGGAAAATGACGATGGTGCATCCAAGAACTAATCCGTGGAGGGACAGGGATAATGTTAATCTCAGCAGAGGGGGTGGTACTAATATTTTTTAAAGGTATATTAAAGTTATGACAAAATGTACACATTATATGGGGGCCTTAATACAGACTTGACATTTAATATTTTTTCCAAATCATAATTTATCAGTTTTTCCTATTTTGCTGACTTATAAATGAAAATAAGGATTAAAATCGTGTTTTAATAACTTTTTAAAATAATCTCTTTGATGTCATGGTGACATCAGTCCATTAATTGAATTCGCCAGTGAAGCAAACAAAAATGCATTGCCTATTCTAAGTCATACGACAACCATTGAAAGCGATATTTTAGATCTCCATATTTTCCAAATTATCATCTTAAAAAAGTTACACACCCCACACAGGACCTTCATGTCAGTGTCTTATTACAGCAATGGTCGCTGTTACGCTTGACCTCATCTGACTGCTACCAGACCTTTCAAGCGACAAGGCATTCCTTGGGATAGGCTTTTAGAGTTTAATCTTGAATAAAATTCCAGGCAACGGTCAAAACCTGTTCAATTTGGTTCAGTTTTGTTGTAGGACATGCAGGCCGTTGATTCGGCAAAAATGGCGATTTTGATGACCCAGGTAGCTGCTCATTCCCTTGGTTCTGTAAGTTATCTGCGATTAAAAGTACTCTGTGTGAACCGGCAATCTCATCGTGCAACTTAAAATTTCCCAAAGGTGCCCCCTTTCAAATGATAGTCAAGTGGTTCCCAGATTATCCCTTTATTTAATCTGGTTAAGGTTTTCATTGATGACTACCATTGGTGTTTCGGCACCAATGTGGTAACCACTCCAAATACTGACGCTGTTAATGACCTTTGTCACTTTAGAAGCATCACACGCTTCGTCGCAGGCCTCTTCAGGATGTCTGTAAACTCTGTTTTGACCAGTTGAGCGGTACAGGTGAAAGCTGACCTCAATAAAGAAAGCCACGCGGTTTCAGTGTTCTACCCAGAAACGGTCAGGGTCCCCAATTCATCAGAGAAACAAACGGCGCTGTTTTGCTGTATACAGTAGCTTCCTCAGAGGTCGTCTGGTATCCTAACCTGCTGAAACCAGTTTGGTGATTGCTAAGAGCCTTGAAAAAACGCATTTTGGCCCTCATTCTAAACGGACTGGGTTTTTTTTTGTTTAGTTGCAGCAGCATATCCCGAAGGACAGTGAGTCTTGTGCCCTGGTGGTGAGATTTCGATACATTGGGCGTGACCTTTGTGAAGCTACATCAGTCTGGGCATTACTCTATAAAACTATGCGGACCGTTCCGTTTGGCGCAATTATCTGTCTGGCAATTCTTCTTTTTCGCGCCATTCTGCCACAGATTAACAAATTTGTAAAGCAGCACTACTTAGCTCATTTTGCGCACTGATACACCGACCACTTACATGCAAAATTTCAAATTCTTCTATGCAGTAGTTGCCGACATATGGATACTTTTTTGACAAAACCATGCTTTGCCAAACTCAAGCTTTGACCACCCCAAAAGACCACTACCCAATTAAAACTTTGAATAATACACAATGCAGTAGTGCAACAGACATGATAGTTAGTTAGTTGGTAGCGACACACCTGACTTCACGCTTCTCCAGTCATATATCTTATATGAGATATGAGTTTTTTTTTAAATAACGCATTTTTACCAAGGTATACCTTTGAAACTGAAATATTCCATATTAAATGCCAAGTCTGTGTATGACATTATTACACACATTATTTACCTTAGCTCGGTTTATTACAGTAGAAACATCGCTCTCATATCAATTTAATATTTAAGTGTCTGAAAATATTTAATAATGCCGAAGAGCGACATGCCAAAATCACAAAATTATACAATAGTATTCGGAACAGTACGAAGAGGTAATAACTAAAGACCCCTATGACGTTGATTTATTGGCCGCCATGGTTCCTGGGATGAGGAATTGTTTGTCTGTGTTTAAGTACGGTACACTGTAGGGTACACTGATGGGTTTATGTGATGAGAAAAAATGACAAAAGTTGAAACATGTTTTTATACGACTTTTTTGTCGCCTTTGGCAAATATGAAGAGCTACATATATTGTAGTCTAACCGCCTTTTATTTCCATCATATTGACCATAGGTATTTGAGATCATGCAAAGTATAAGGTCAAAAATAACACCAACAATCGTAACCCACGCGTGGTTTCATCAAGGGGTCTAAACCATTTGTAAAGAAAACCTCATCAAATATAAGCTTTCAGCTGACCTCTACTTTGACATAACCGCGCTCAACGGTTGTCATTTCTGAGTAATTCATGTTTACAAACCAAGTGTGAATGTTAAAAATAAATGGTACTAATTCGTGTCCTTTATTTGTGTGTGTGTGTGTGTGTGTGTGTGTTAGAGAGAGAGAGAGAGAGAGAGAGAGAGAGAGAGAGAGAGGAGAGAACACGCTGCAAATTTATTTACCAATATTTGTTTTCATTGATGGAACGTGCGATTATATTGTGGGTCTTACCAATCATGACAGTCATCTTTAGGGTCCTTATCCTTGCTCTTTCTATGTTCCCCACGCCTGATCGCCTTAAACAGCTGGTTCCTCTGGACGTCGTCTCGTTTATGCTAGTCGTCTCTTCTAAAAACAAAATAGCAAAAAGCGGTTTTACAGGGTGGGTGGGTAGGTGATAATATATTTGTTCAGAGATATCTTTTATAAAGCAGTGCTTTTGCGCCACAAATGCAATACGTTCTATTATCCCCTCTAGATGTTTTATAGGCCTGTGTGGTGCTTTATCTATTCTTTATTCATATTGTTCAAAACCAAATTGATGTTCATGTACTTCCTGTGCTATCGACGTCAATGTTCTCTAACTTAATGAACAAGTGAATAATCAACCTTATATAATATTTTGAACAAAAATTAGTTTCATGAAAATATACAAGTTAATATGGTTCAAGTGAAACAATGACGTACCGTACTGTAAGTGAAAATGACCCATTGTGATCCAAAATTATCCTCACAGCAAAATGCTATAATCTACGTGTTTTTCATTATAAATCAAACCCTATTATCAAAGTTATCTAAGCTCCTATTTGTCATAGGTTTACATAGACCATTATCTCCACAGTCGCTGTTTGTCCGAATTCATGCTTTCATTACCCGCCAGTGATCAAGTCAATTTGCGTTTGTTTTCCTTTATGGCCATTAAAATCATCCAATTTATACACGAAAGCGATCGGGGAGGCCTGAGCCGATGCGAAAAGCACATTGCTGTCACGAAGCAAATTTATATTCAGGAAACAGATTGGAATATTTTCTCTTAGCATCTTACATACTGCACCATTGATAAGCACAAAGCAATAACCAAGTCAGTACACCGCGAGTATCTGCATTTTCTTCGCAAAGTGATCCGTTTTTGCTTCATGCGTAATATAGTTTGTTAGGACCGATGTTAGCTTTTAGTGTGGAACATGTGGAATGATAACAATATAATTTTGATGTTTTCTTTCTTCATCTCTTGTATATCTGTCTATATTGTCATGAGATTAGGCGTTACATTTTATTACTTCAGTAATTTGCTGGTATGCATACTAAAATTCACAGGCACCATACCATGTTGACTCAACATATCAAGTACGGTGTTAAGTCATTGTATTGGCAAAGCAATGTTTAAAAAAATCTTGCTAATGATACCAGACAAGTATTATTTCCTGTGTATGTCAGAGACTATTTTATGCGAAAACCTAAGGCGATAAGGCTTGAAAACTAAGATAAAATAATAACTGATGTCCCTGTAGTTTATGAGTAATTACCTAAAAGTAATTCTGTACCACCATTGAGATCAATCAATTAATGATAAATATAGATATGCATAATTTGCGTGTGATGCTAAGTTATTCCCATAAAGGCTTATATATATCACTAATGGATAATTCATAATATGGCTTTTCATGCCAATCTCGAAGGGTTAGCACACAGAAAGCCAGATATTGGTGTCTACATACAGATTTTTTATCTAGCCCGTTGATCTGAACTAACGTTCATTTTGTGACCAAGGGTGTATAGAGATTTAAAGACATATACAAAAAAATAACATGCCAATTAAAAAAACAACATCTTAGTCATTAAAGCTTATAGTGGCAGATGTTACAATACCAGAACAAAACAACAGACAGACCCATTTCGCTGACACTTCATTTCTTTAAATTAGATTAGACATTAATCAGGCTTGGGACGAATAAAATAGTTTTATCTAAGATCAAGCATAATGAGGGAAAATGGTATAGCATAATTGGGTCTGAGAGTCAAAACCTACTAATATTTAAAGTCATGCATGTGAATAAATGACATTATTATTTATCATGATGAACACAACCTGAGAAGCAATGATCCAAACCCGAAAGCTAAAGATATAATGAAGTTATTGGGGGTTTAAAGAGGTGAATCTCAGTTTTTAATTATGTCCCTTGGGCGAAAACATAATATTCTAACTGCCATTAATTCGCCAGCAATATCTTGTCACTTTCAGTATCAGTGGGATTCATTCGTATGCATTTTACTCCAAACAACGACTAATTACGTTCCCATTGCGATATTTTCACCTCTGTTTATTTTATTTGTATAATTTCCCTGGCACCCGGAAACATTTCCCAGAAGAGCTTGTATATAACTTATCTTAAAAGCAGCGAAAAACACAACCTTACCTCGACTTTGTTTGGTCTTTTTCGTAATCTCCCAAATGATAAAGGAGTAGGACATGGTAATCACTACCAATGGCATGGCATACACGGCAGTGAAGTTGAACAGATTATACGCCAGCTCATGGGCGTCCGAGGGAAAGAAATGGTACGTCACGCATTGTGTGTACCAAAAGTATTCTGGGTGATGTTCCAAGTGAAATATCACACTCTGCAAGAAAATGAGTTTTGAAAATTAGATTTAAAAAAAAATGGGTAACGGTACGCTAAAAATAAAAAGAATCGAGTGCGTACTTTGAAGTTAGAATGAAGCATTTCTGAGACTTAATTCGTACAAGATTTTGTCAAAACCAACACTTTAATGAACAAAATAAGTCTGTTTTCCTTCAACAAACTTAAATATGGTTTAGACTGCTATTGTTTGAAATTGTTATTTCGCATGACAAATACACCTCTGTTCGAAATACGAAATAGAAGAAAAGACATGCAATTGCATTATATTCTCCTAGGGATTTTTCGTGTATGATACGGTTTAATGGGAATTTTTACAACTGGACCTTTGCATATCAACAGATCCTTCTAAAATCAATATTTGGTTATTTCGGAATGCACGCGTCACGCGTCACACTTTAAACCAACACGAAATAAGACATGTTAAAAAAAGACATTCATAGCCATGTCACTATACATGTATATTCATGTTTTCACGAATACAACCCAAAGAGGGCACTCCCTCCATCAAAGCACGACTACCATAGATTTGAAAGAGGGCTGATGAAAACTTACCTGGGGTATACTGCACACCATGGCCAAACACCACGAAATCCCCAGCATTATCTTAGCTCTCTTGTCTGCGTCTTGCATACTGAGAGGATGAATGATAGCGAAATACCGGTCGAGGCTTATCGCCACCAAAATAAATGAGGAAAGATAAAATCCAAAGGCACGGCAGAACGCCAACAGTCGACACGAGGCATCTCCCGCCAACCACTGCACAGTGCTGTGCCAGGAAATTTCAATCGGGATCATCACAAAGGTGACTTCCATGTCTGCAATGGCCAGGTGCATTATAAACATGTTCACTCGCGATCGGCGATGCCTGTTCCTGAATAATGTGATGAAAACCGTGAGGTTTCCAACGGCTGCCAAGAACATGAGACAGGCATAGGCTACAATGGAAATTAGGCTGTCCGAATTGAACATCAAATACAGAGGTAATTGTGCCACTTCAGACTGGTTTCCGTGGATAATGTTCCTCTGTGAATCGTTGGGAATCGACACGGATTGTCCGAACCCATCTCCGTCAGTATATGACAAATTTGAGCCCGCTCCATTGTGTTTGGTCCACAGATCAACTGATATAATGTTGTCTCCTATCTCTGTATCCATCTTATATTTTCAAAGTAAAACTTGTGTCAGTGATTTTCTTTTTAAAAATCATTCAAGTCATGGCCACGTCACTATCGCACGAACCGTATAAGCACCGCAAACCATACGATGTCAACAGTTTTTCTGAACCATCTTCCAAGTGCTCGTGCTGACAGCTGGCGACGCAGTGAAAGATTCCGTATCTGTGGGTGAATTTATAAACCGCTGCATCAGACGCCAGTACCTGGAATATAGACGGTGGATTTGAACATGACGACATCTAATCGCTGCACTTACCTGCGTGTCACAGCAGTGAGTGGTAAGCTTCAGGTAGAACTTGAAACTAGTGCGCATTAGCAGCTGTTGGGCTGACACATGAGACCGTTGTGTAGAGACGTAGCGATACTGGCGTGGGCCGGCTTATCATTAACTATTCATCGTGTTAATTCATGCTCAGTTCATTTCTGTCATTGGTTTCATTACAGTTCGTGTACTGGCATCATCAAGTAACCATGATGAATATCGTTGATGTTGAATTTATTTTCACAATTCGTTGTGCCTTATCCACATGAAAAAAAGGGCAATTTTAATTACCATTGGCGATTCCGGAATATCAAGAGAGATGGAAAATTTAGGGCATTTAATAATACTGAAGACATGAAAGTGCTTGTATCGGGATCAGTGGGTGTCGTTTCAATCCTTTTCGGGAGGGAAGGGAAGGGGCTGAATCTGTTATTTGGGAGGTAGAGAAAAGGAACCCCCATTAATTGTGCAGCTTTGCTTTAAAATGTTACCTTTTTTTAAAATGCCTTTTAAAATGTTTTTTAAATGTTACTTAAAAATTGGATTTAGGTTTCTCCATCTATAATATATAAAAAAATAATTATTGTTATCCCCGTAGATTAAAAAAGATAAGACACTCAGGCAGGCAGTACACTAGGATATGTATTCCATTTTCATATATTAAATACCAATACTAAGTATTTCCTTTTTATAAAAACAAAAAAATGTAAGTCGATGTTACTTCGCTAAATTCACAGTAATTTACTGTGTTTGATTGAAAACAAGTTACCTCAGAAACAAATTGCAATCAATTCTACAGTTGACCTTGTTATGTATTCTTCATTATTTCATGTACAAGCGAACCAATATGCATGTCGTCGTTTATCAATGTTGGTTTAATGGTTATTTGATTGTGTTTAACCTTCTCATGCATATTCGTCATTGAACTGGATTTTTTTGGAAAGAAACAGAAGCAAGAGGAAATAAGGAAATGAAACGTCTCAGAATGAACAAAAAAATCAATATGGTACGTCAAAGAGGGAGAATTATGATAAACAATCCAAATTATCAGCTTATTTGTGGGTACTAGAAAAAGTGTATTGACTTATTTATCTCTAAACTCCTCCTGGAGCATTTCCACATTTAAATGACCGCTGGACAACAAAAACCTACAAACATCAGACCACTAGAAAACAAACCTACAAAAAGGTTCTTTTCTATACACTAACAGTACTCGATGATTTCGTTGAATGCTACGATGGCTATAAGCTGGGGATTGGTCTCCAATCCGGCTGAAAGAGAGCGGATAAGGAAGAGCTTAGCTCTGATTATTAATCTGCCCGTCCGCAGAAACCGCATTAAAACAAACATGTCAGGGTCACTTCAACCGAGTTTCTTGTTGACTGCAATGTCCATTAAATTCTTTGGTAAATTGATATGCAATTGGCCTTGCGTGCTGCATTTGACTTTTTCGACGATCTAACCATGCGACCATCATTACAGGTACCGAGTGTGGTTTGTGGATTTTGAAAGATAATACCTGCGACTCACGGTAGATTGAATCATCCTCGCGTGATATAAACTTGTATCCTTTGATATTTAAAACCTAAAGCGTATGTAAACTGTCAATTGTATAGATGTTTGTTAGAAATGATATGTTTCAGAGATTAAATCTTTTTCTTCTTGAGAGTTTTCCCTGGGGGCTTTCAGTTTTGAAATATATTCATATATATATATATATATATATATATATATATATATATATATATATACAGACTTGACATTTAATATGGAATATTTCAGTTTTGAAGCTATGCCTTGGTAAAAATGCATTCTTTTTTCAAAAAACACCGATCTCATATAAGATTTGTGAATGGACAAGTGTTAAGTCAGGTGTGTCGCTACCAATTAAATGACTTCCATGTCTGTTGCGCTGCTACATTATGTAATATGCAGTGATTTAATCGGGTAGTGTTCATTTGGGCTGGTCAAAGCTTGGGTTAGGCAAAGGTTGGTTCTGTCAAAAAAGTATCCATATGTCGGCAACTACTGCATAGAAGAATTTTAAATTTTTCATGCAAGTGGTCAGTTGTGCAGTGCGTAAAATGAGGTAAGTAGTGCTTTACAAGTTTGTTAATCTGTGGCAGAATGGCGCGAAAAAGACAGACATTACCAGAAACATTATAGCGCCAAACGGAACGGTCCGTAGAGTTTTATAGAGTAATGCCCAGACTGATGTACCTACACAGAGGTCACACCCAATGTATCGAAATCTTACCTCTAGGGTACAGGACCCACTGTCTTTCGGGAAACGCTGCTGCAACTTAACAAAACCACCCAGTCCGTTCATAACGAGGGGTAAATTGTCACAAAAATACGTTTTTAAAGGCCCTTAGCGACCACCAAACTGTTTTAAGCAGGTTAGGATACCAGACGACCTCCGAGGTACTCACTGTAAACAGCAAAATACCGTCGCCTGTTTCTCTAGTGAATTGGGAGCCATGACCGTTTCTGGGTAGAACACTGAAACCACGTGGCTTTCCTTATTGAGGTCAGATTTCACCTGTACCGCCCAGCTAGTCAAAACAGAGTTTACAGACATCCAGAAAAGGCCTACGACGAAGCATGTGCCGCGTCTAAAGTGACACGGGGCATTGACAGCGTCAGTATTTGGAGTGGATACCACATTGGTGCCAAAACACCATTGGTAGCCATCGACGAAAACCTGAACCAGATCAAATAAAGGAATAATCTGGGAACCACTTTAATATCATTTGATAGGAGGTACCTTCGGAAAAATTTTAGGTTGCACGGTGAGATTGTCGGTTCACACAGAACACTTTTAATAGCAGAAAACTAACAGAACCAAGGGAATGAGCAGCTACCCTGGTCATCAAAATCGCCACATTTGAACCGCATACACAATATGTGGGTAGGCCATTACTCGCCGAATCAACGGCCTACATGTCCTACAACAAAACTGGTCCAAAATGGACAATTTTTGACCGATGCCTGGAATGTTATTCCAGATTGAACTCTAAAAACCTATCTCAAGGAATGCCTTGCCGCTTGAGAGCGCTGGTTACAGCCAAAAGAGGTCAGGCGTAACAGCGACCGTTACTATGACTACACACTGACATGAGGGTCCTTTGTGGAGAGTGTAACTCTTTTACAGACGATAATTTGGAAAATATGGAGATCCAAAATATCTATTTTAATGGTTGTCGTATTACATAGAATAGGCAATGTATTTCTGCTTGCTTCACTGTCGAATTCAATCAATGATCTGATGTCAACATGACATCAAAGAGATAATTTGAAGTTATTAAAACACGTTTTTAATCCTTATTTTCATTTATCAGTCAGCAAAATTGGAAAAAACTGATGAAAAATGGTTTGGAAAAAAATATTCCATATTAAATGTCAAGTCTGTAGTAACACGTAAACCCTTTTTACCTTCGTCTCTAGTGAACACAAATGAACATTTTCGATATGATCGTCAGGTATCCGTTCCACGAAAAAAGATGAAATTCATATATCTAATTCGCGTATCAATTTGCATCGGCCATTTTGATATGCGACACATATCTGAACTAGAGAAGCACTCAGAGAGCACAGACCTCCGCCAAGGCTATTCAATTTTCATAATTATTTATGGATCATCGTCAAAATGTAATTGTATCTTAGGCTCTATTCCCATAAATTTTAGATCGATCTATCCCCGCGGGGAGTCTCACTAGATTACTTTCAGATAATCCGACTTAAATGTCCGTCCCGCCTACTACAAGCTGTAAGAGGGCAATTAACTTTCGTGTCCGCCCGGCTGACAGCTATTTAGCGTGAACCCCCAGGGAGTTAGGTCGATCTAAAGAAGGTCGATCTAATCTATGGAAATGGGGTGTTAGACTGGGTTCCCATGCCTAGATCGATCCATCTGGATCTGAACATCTGGATCGATCTAACTCCCTGGGGAGTCTCACTAAATTGCTGTCAACTAACCGGCTTAAATGTCTGTCACGCCTACCGAATCAGCTAGGTGGTGTGACGACCCGATATGTCCGACAGGCCAAATATGTTCTACGACCAGAGAAGGCCAGATATGTCCGACAAAAAAAGAGCCAGATGTGTCCGACAGGCCAGATATGTCGGACACAACTGGCTCTTTTTTGTCGGACATATCTGGCCTGTCGGACACATCTGGCTCTTTTTTGTCGGACATATCTGGCCTGTTCTCTGGTCGTAGGACATATCTGACCTGTCGGACACATCTGGCTCTTTTTTGTCGGACACATCTGGCTCTTTTTTGTCGGACATATCTGGCCTGTTCTCTGGTCGTAGGACATATCTGACCTGTCGGACACGTTTTGCATAACGTTGCTAACAGGCAGACAGACAATCAATACAAAAGAAATGACCTCCTTGGCGGAGGTATTAGTCTTATTCTCTTCCTTGACCACCAACAAATACATTAAGACACTAGAAAAAGGATTTTATCACAACTGAAAGGCGCTAGCTGTTACATTCATACATATTGTTCAGAATAGGCATCAGTGGAATTAGAACTTTCATTCACGGGGGGGGGGGATCAAAGGGTCCCATTTGAAAGGTTTGCTGAAAAATTACAAGTAAGGTCATATCTATGAAAACTAACCTTAAAACTTGGGTCCTGAAACTCACCTTCTGTCAACAGATTATAACTTGCGTGTTCAGTTAAATCAATTATCTCTGTAAAATATATACCCCTACTGAAAACTATACTGAGGTGATACGTGTTATTCCAAAACCGCTGAAGATGAAACCTCACTGACATAAGTCGTATTCATCACATAACTTGCCACTGAAGAATCTTGTATGTCAAAGCGTTTAAGTGTGTGGTGATGTAGATAAAGCCCGTAGTAATTCTGGCAAGCAGACGGTGGAGATGGATTTAAATAAAGCCCAGGGTATCAAAATAGCACCCTGAGCTTCAGAGCTAACTTTACACTAACCTTTTCACTGTAGCCTATCTCCATCGTGTCAAGTAACCTCTGACGAAAATAGTTTGACCTATTTTATATAAGCCAATCGAATCCATGTTTCAAAATTTTTCACCAAAGTTTGGTGAAAACGCTGATTGGTTGATCGTCAATCGGCAATCCTCGGCTGATTCCGCAAGCTCCATACTAACAACATAGTTATTGTCGAGTGCGGAGACATCCGAGTAGTTCCGAGTGGTTCCGAGTGCATAACCGTACACAAAGAAAGCATGGAGTATATCGGAATTGAAACCAGAGCAGTATGATGCCCTGCATCATTATCTACTGAAGGATGATGTATTTTGCGTGCTGCCCACAGGTTACGGCAAGTCCCTGATATTCAGCCTTATCTTTGATTGGTCCGGATTTGAACAAAGCGCGCTTTGACTCGTTCGCGTTCATTGGCTAGATCGTTCAATGAGTCATTGAGTGCGGGCTTTAAATTTGATTGGCGGGCGGCGGGGGCACTCGAATCTGGTCAGAGGTTACTTGACACGATGGAGATAGGCTACAGTGAAAAGGTTAGTGTCAAGTTAGCTCTGAAGCTCAGGGTGCAAAATAGGGATAGTAGGAAAAATGCCAGCAAAATGAGAAAAAACTATAACAAACAACCCCATTATTTCATAAAGCAAGATGTTGAAACAGTTCACATGTATTATAAAAGAACTTTTAGAGCAAAATTTTGGTCAACTTTATAGCCATAATTGTCAGTTAAAGTACTATTCAGTGCAATATTGCGAAAGGATTTTTACAAAATAAACTTATGTATCAGACCAACGCTTATTTTATGACAGCGAACCACTATGGGTCTGAATAAGACCAAATTTTTGCTTTATATATTAAGGTCACTTTTTGCAGTTTTGCGGTTTTATTGTACCACCGGCTGTGTGGTCTGGACTGAGTCCGATTCCCGCCGTTCCTACATCTGCGCCCATTCCTGTAGTCCACATCTGCGTCACATGCTTATGGCTGGACAGACAACAACACCGAGAAAACTAATATCCAAACTTTGATGGATGAGTGTATCTATAATCTGCCACATTTTAGGCGGCATTGCACTGAAATATATATATATATATGTGTGTGTGTAGAAAGTACAAACAGCCAAGCATTATGCTTACAAGGTCAGTCAAATCCAAGGTACTTGGTACCTGATTCTGGTGTCAGTCAAATTTGGGTACTGTTTTTGCCCTGCAACCCCACATTAAAAATGATTAATTACCATATTTATGCCTTACACCGAGGTCAAATAGCATCAAGGTAATTTTACAAATAACCACTCTTGGGCAGTGGCGTTTTGTAATTTGTCAAGTAACCAGATTCGCGGACATGTCTATTTCCACAATATATGTGTAGGGTATGCATGACATTTATCTGCATTTTGTGAAATTGAAGGCACGTCGCATATGCATTTATACAATTTTGGGTGAAGTGCATCTGAACCGGCACGTTATTTGGAAAATTATCGATGGTACGGCAGTTACACTTTGCCTGGACCAAATACAGTTTCATACTTGGCCATTTGATGGGGTTTCTAGTAAACATATCTTGGACGTTATAAATCTCCCCTCTCGCGCGTCAAACTTCACAAAAAAATATACGGGTGTTATGTATATGCTGTGAGAATAGCCCACTTTCCCGCCGGATGGAACGAATTAAGGAGGCGGCCCGACTTCACTGACCTTAGGTCTGTTATGGATTTTAACGTTTACGCAATTAATAGTTATCCAGGGAACGCATTGTCTTGCGCTGCGTCTAGAAAAGTTAATAACATTCTATTAGACGCATAGATTTAATACCACCATAGTTATTTGATGAAGATGGTTTTCGATTTACGGGCAAATCAACATACGTGTAAAACTGGGATGCAAGCCAGGACCCAACGTACCGNCAAGATCACAGTCACATACTCAAAATAAAATAAAATTTATGAAGTTTTGTGGCGGGGGAGTCAAATTTTCATGGGGGAGTCAGATTTTCATTATGTGCTCATTTTTAATTTTCTTATTTTTCATTAAAATTTTCACTGCAAACTACAAAAAAATGTGCCAATCTATCCTCCTTTTTACATACAACAAGATTACAGTCATATACCCAAAATAAAATAAGATTTATGAAGTTTTATGATGGGGGAGTCAAATTTTCACGGGGGAGTCAGATTTTCATTATGTGCACATTTTTATTTTTCTTATTTTTTCATTTGAATTTTCACTGCAAACTACAAAAAATGTGCCAACGTATCATCCATTTTACATAATACAAGATCACAGTCATATACTCAAATAAAATAAGATGTATGAAGTTTTGTGGAGGGGGAGTCAAATTTTCATGGGGGGAGTCACATTTTCATTATGAAAATCTGACTGGGGAGTCACATTTTCATAATGAAAATCTGACTGGGGAGTCAGATTTTCATGGAAGTCAGATTTTCATGTTACACCGGCCATAGCCGGTGTAATGAAACTGACGGTTCGTGTAACAGAAAGTCCGCCCTCCATATAGTTATAATGGTTAGGGTTAGTCTGACCTAAGTGGGTCAAAATCGAGGGCGAGGCTCACCTGTACAAATGAATGGGAAGCGGACACTCTGTTATGGGGGACTCTCTGTCACGTTACACCGGTATCAAAGGTGATTTTTTTTCAAAAACTGCTTCAACCTTGTATTCTCGTTTTTTTTTCTAAAAACTTGCGCGTTTGTACTTTTCACGCGAATTCTCTTACGAACATTATGATATATTATCTTGGGTGTGATACAGTTTACGACATTTTAATATTTAGAAATATCCTCCAATGAAGACAGACTGCAAAGTAATTCGATTTCCGTTACCTTCCTGTTTAGCGGTTGCACTTCAACACTGCTGGACATCTTCCATTTTATGTGAAATGACAGAGTCACTGTGGGAAACATATAAAATAGAAATATACAGGTATGTCACAGGTATGTCAAAGATGTCGTGCACTCTTCTTAAATCTCTGGAATCCTAAGCGTGCGTGTGTGTGTGTGCATGTACATGCTATGCTATGAGACATGATTCGTGATCCAATGATCAGTCATGCGATGATCCGTGTTTAAAATAAAGTATCAATGATTCATAAGGACAACGACAAAAGAGGTCAGAAAGTGTTACGATATAAATAAATATTAAGGTACGCACAAAGGTAAGGAAAACACGAGGTTTTCGTCCAGTGATAATGACTTAATGCGACTTGTTGGAATTCATTCACTTCAAAATATATAAATAAATAAATAAACGCGCTACATTAAAACACACACAAACACACACACACACACACGTTACCTAACCAAACAGCGAACAATACTACGTTTTCAGTTTGTCGTAACTTTCTGTAATAGCACCTTTAGAACTGTTTGCATTAACTGAAAAGAACTGTTTGCATTAACTGAAAAATAAAAAGAAGAAGAAAAAAAAACAAAACAATTTACGTGTAGATGCAACATGAAGACTACACAGTGGCGAGAGAAGACGATGAATGAAATTCGAAAACTTAGCTGGAGAGAGAATTTGACTTTGAAAGGTTTAAGTGAATTGTTTAATGGGTTTTGAGAAAAAAATCGAAAGTGTAATAAAAACCCGTCACTCCAATAGTACGCCTACTCCATTTGTGGATCTAACATGTCTAATATATTGATGCATCGTGACGGTCCCTGCAGACTTCTTCAACAATCAGTCAAGAAAATTGAAATGTAAGCTATCTTCTGGAAATCGCAGAATTTACCCTTTGGCATTTATTTTATACCACTCTCTTATTGTGCTCCCTATAGTAAAGGATGACTCAATCTAAATTGAAGTGAATAACGGAGCTCTCAAATGAATTTGAGAAAAATAGACAATTAAGAAAAATATAGTGAAAGTTTGACTTAGTTCGCTTTTAAGTCCCTAACATACACGTTGTCAACTAACTTATATGGAAATATAAACATCTAACTAAAATCTATTTCAGTTGGGGATGAGAAGCTTTTGCCTGTAGCATTATGGCATTTTAGAGCAGGCTGGGAGAGACAAAAAAATCACACAGTCAAGCTAAAAATCATGATCAAGATTTTCTATAACAAGCATTTGTTACACGTTCTTTTCAATTAAACTTAAACAATAACAATGTGTTTTGAAAGGTATTAAAGAAGAATATATTTCTTTGCAGCGGGTCTTGACTATCTGCAGTGTAAACAAGACACCCTTTGGATAACTTTGAGGTTTATCAGTTTTACATGTACATAAAACACTAAGATGCTCTTTACACGTTAGCTGCCACAGGAAACCATCGCCATGATAGTTGCATGCTGTTGAAGACCTTCACATCTAGTGTTTTTAAACATTGGAAGTGAAATTTATCAGACAGAAACTCCCAATTGTATGAGATAACAGTACTGAAATTAAAATTCGATTGAAATTAAATTGGCTCTTTATTAGGCACGTGTGAAGCAGGGGCGGATCCAGAGCTATTTTCTGACAGTCTTCTAAATTATCTTTGTTGATCCATCCTGTATTTTTGACCGTCTTCTGAGAGAAAAAATTAGATATCCGTCAATGTAAACTTGAAAATCTGACCGTCTTCCGGAAGACCCAGAAGACGGCCTCAATCCGCCCCTGTGAATGGCGTGTCCAATCATTCAATCTAAGTCCAGTTTTCAAGGAAAACGGCGACGCCAAATAGGCCCTACAGATGTGGTCTTCGCATAAGGATCAAATTTAAAAAAAAATTGATTTCTGAAAACGAGCTATGAAAAGCAAAGTCTCTGAAAACTTACCTTCTTTAAACATAGTCCGTGTAATGAATACTAAGAGCTTCCGTTGAATGAAATGAATACCTTTTGGCTGATAAATTCTGTAATGACTTGCTTAAGAGGACATTAAACGGTTGATACATCTTAAGGCATACAACACAGTCTGAACTTGAACGACGTTCATGTTAAAAGGTGCACTCAAAGGATGTTCCCAAAACGGCGTCTTTTTCCGTTCATCTAGCATGTACTACATCTCTGGTCAATATGTCCTCATTGATTGAGTTTCAAACTATGTTAACAGGCAGGGCAATACGCCTTTTGTTTTTATACATAAACAATGTAAATGAAAGCATTCAAGAGAATAATTTAGCAATCACTCATTACCGTGTCCGCTCGGCTTATTTCAGTCACGATATGCCATGGGTTTTGTATGCTGGCCGAGTTTGCACATCTCTCCCACGTGAGCACCGAGAGAAAATTGCTGAAACGGATACGTTTTTGCTTGTTTGGTGCTTCATTGGTTTGTAATGCGGGATCTGCACTGCAAACCCAATAGTATCATTACGTTTCCGTGGTATTAAGTGGGCTGTCGAGTTATTCCATATTACCCCAGTTAACCACCTGCTGTACGCATTAGAATGCCCGGGCTCCATGCCGTCCATAGTTGGCTTTCAGGCACGTTCCAAATGCTTACAACTCCTTTTTTTCACTAACAAGGAAGAAAGGTTAGTGCAAGCCTGGGAGACAGTTCAGTCGAGCGATCTGTCTCAGAGTTTTCAATTACATCCCCATTGTGTTTTGACATGGCCGAGTAGGGGGTGCGCGGATTAAATCAGTCACGAAATTTAACAGTGCGCTAGCATTTTATTTGTGAACGAAAATCAAATTTTCCATTTCACAGCCTTCTTGACAGCCTTTTCAACCAATGTAATATTGGTAAACAGTAATGTAAGTTCGCTCCTTAGGAACAATAGTCCTGACTGAACCTGAATCTCTGGCTTGTTATCGTTTTAAGTTATACTTGACCTCATACACATGAATAATAAAAAGACTGGAAAAAAGAAAGAAACCTTAATTTTGGCATCTGAAGATAAAAGCACCCTTACCTAGGCAGTGAACAGTTAAAATATTCATAAAATAAGATAAGTTAATAGAATAAACATCATTTCTTAAACATTTGAATGTTTTTGTCACTATTTCTACACTGTGCAATCATTTACAATGCTCATTTCAGCAGCTCATTTCCTGTTCAAAGGAAAGCCATATACATATAAATGAGTAATAAAACTGTACAGTGTAATAGCTAATTCAAAATATTTGTATAAATAATAAACATATAAATGGAAATGACAGTACAACATGTATTACTAGCCTTTGAGAATGCTAGTTCTACTAGACCGTGTGTTATTAAACCTAGCATAGGATTTACATTACTTGGGAACTTTTGTCCAAACCAAACCCCAGTGAGTTATGTTCCAGGATTTTCATCCATAAAAACGCATGCCCTAGGACTTGCATTCCCTTTGGGTTTGTTTGGGAAAATGTCAAACGAATTTTTTGTCTCGTGTGGTCGGATTTTGACTCTTTTCATGTTAATACAGCAAAGGTGAAATGTCTTTATAACAATAATGTAGATTGTATGATTAACTGGTCCAGATTCCAAATAAAATACGTTTGAAACACAACGGTTCTAAAAAAAATAGCATTCTGGATTACGAACGGAGGCTCACAACAGAGAGAAATACTAATGCATTTCGAAAATTCAAAATGGTTTGGGAAGACGCATTTTAAATAAATGGAAACAGTGAAGCATGCGTTGCGTATTAATGGAAAGTTTCGAGAATGTGATACAATTCCGTTATGTACAGTGGAGTATTTCGAAACAGCGCATCGCCGCCTTTTCCTTAACCCTTGCTTTCCTAACGGATTAATCCCCATGTTTATGCTGTAGAAACACATTATCTAGGTGCAACGTGATAAATATATTGGCAATATCAACAACTTAGACCCTCAGATTAATAGCCACCACTAGCTTTAACCATGTGGAATTTACCTCACTTCCCACCTACCCATTTTTCTGCCTCAAAACAAGCCAATATATTTCGCCTGAATAAATATACCAGTGCTCAACTCACATCTATTAACAAGCCTGTCATCCCTAACACAGGAAATAGCCGCAACATTCATTAGGCTCAGTAAACTGTGGTGATTGCAATCTCCTTTACCCCTTGTCAGTTGCAGAAGAGAAGCCTACAATATTCCGCAGAACAAATTTTAATAAAACAAAGTAAAGGTGAAAAATAATATGTTATGTTTGGGCGTATTATACAGGAATCAGTTGAATAAGTACATTATACATATAGGCAATCCGAGTGCCCAAGACAGTAAATGTCAGATTTGTCGAATCGTTGGCCCCACCGAACATGCCGCTCAAGACGTTCTTTGTGTTGTTTTCCCTTCTATATTGTGCTTTTTCAAACACACACACATATGTGTGTAAGAAAACCACAAAGTACAAAGGAAACAACACAAAGAACGTCTTCAGCAGCATGATCGAACACTTCAACAAATCTGACATCTACATGTACTCTTAGAGTACATTGGCCACCGTACAATACAGCATCGGCGGCGAAAGGTAATCCATTTGTTTATGCAAACAAAGAAGAAATACAGACGATGTAAATCTCAATAATGCCAGTACATGTATGAAGACCTCTTGGGCATTTCTAATTACTGTGCCATTTTTATAACTAGTTTTAAGGAGGTTCCTGGTGAAATATTTTAAAGGTTATCTCCTGTCACGCTTTTACACCCGTGATAGGTATTCTCTTATGACACAGAGTGTTTTATTGAAAAGACAGTGATTTGGTATTTGCCTAAAATAATATGAATTATTTATTTTAATAAATCCCTAAACGGCGCTTATAATAGGGACCATAATTTTATATGTACGCATGCAATTTTAAGATTGAATAATCTTGAAAATTATGGCAGCATGAATAAAACTGGATTTCTTCACTGACGTCTTTCGAGATAGCCTCCAACCTTGTTGACCATCGACAAGGACATTTTCTACATTATACTTCTGTCGGAAAAATCCGAGAGCAACAATTCATTCTGAAAAAAATCATTAAATTTTGCCAGCAAATAGCGCATCACACCTACAATCCTCACAAGAGAAAGACTTTAAGACCAACTCAGTATTCATATCTTGGGGTGTTCAATTTGCAATAGGTATACCTGTATATACCTTTCCCAGCAAATTGTATTACTGGTGCAGCGTGATATCACCAAGAATATTGAGGTTCAGGACTATATCAGCCGGGGATGTCAGTGCTAGGCGACCTCCCTTTTGAAAATCCAACTTGTAATTGAGTTAATATGATACGCGGAGGGTGGGACATGCGAGTGATGGTGTTTTGCCACTAAACGCAAGAATTACCCTGAAGCTAGTTATTGAGTCAGTCTGTGTTTTCTAGATAAATGTTTTATTAATTCAAACCAATGGGCGCACGTGTTAAGTAATTTGCTAGACAAACCTTGGCAGCGCTCCACCTTCGGCAAAATACTGAAAAACATTCTTTTTGCATTTTTTATGTCTTAAAAGAATAACAAACTGTTAAAAGGAATCAAGTAGGGGTATTGTTTTCACACCATCAAAAACAAATGAACAACGCCGCTACGTTCCTGAAACTAAACGCGAGGAGTGGCCTTTAAGAGCAGCTTTCATTCCTTAACTCGTAAAATTGGTGTCTAGTCTGGAATTATTGCAAATCGAACAGACAAGCGCGTTTCTTTCTGACACAAATAAAAACTATATATTTCAACTTTCTGCTTCCGATAGAAAATTTTGACCAAAAGAATCACAAATCAGATGTTAATGTTTCAATACGTTTTTGTTTTTCAGATTACAAAGTTGTAAGTACGTGCGCCCTGTCAAAAGAAAGCACGTTGCCAAATAATAATAATAATAATAATAATAATAATAATAATAATAATAATTATAATTATTATTATCATTATTATTATCATTATTATTATTATTAAATAAAAAATAAAGGGGGGGGTCTCAGATGTGTAGTTTATCTACCAGACTGATGACTGGCAGATAACATGTAACTTTGTTCAAAATTATATACAGAAGGGACACGAGAAAAGTGATTTGCAGATCAAAATGGATATTTGTGAGATGGGCGGAATATACAACTTCCTTTAAGGCGTGCTTATTTGAAGAGCGATCCAGCATGAAACTCACATTAGGTGTTTAACGAGCCATTTTCATCACCATCATCAGAAAGGGGGCTAGTCGTGATTCTCTATCAATTATTAAATTCGAGATACAGTATGAACAAGTAAACTGTTTAGTTGCTCGAAGTTTTCTCGGGTGGATGTGGCTGTTATACATATAAGAGAGATACATTAAGAAAATTAATATTATACTGTATGAAAATGACAGGCAAACATTCAGTGACGTGATTGTTGGCCGTTTATTGATTAATGGAAAAATGAGAGGTCAACTCGGTCTGAAATTCAAGGGAGTGACCCTATAAGTAAATGTGTTTTGTCACATATTGGGGATTATGTCAAAATAATATCCCCTTAATGTGATAAAACACATTTAGGGAATAGTATTTTGACACTTTTACCTTAAATGTGATAAAAAAGCATTTGAACTCATTCCCATAGACACCTTCGGTCTACATAGATCGATACAACTCTGCGGGGACTTTCGCTGAGTGCAACCAGCTTAACTGAATGCCACGCCTCTTCGTTTCCAACGCACACGTATAATGACCAGCTTTTTTTCTTTCCACTTTTATTTACGCCAGGAGGATGCGTGTCATTCAGTTGACTGCACTCAGCAAGAGTCCCTGAGTTGGATCGATCTACAAAGATGGGGCCTATGGGAATGGGGCCTCATAGGAAAGTGTCAAAATACTTAACATTCTTTAATTTGCTTAATATTTCTACATGTATATGTAAAATCAAAAATTGAATACTAAATCTCTTCTAAACAGAACACATTATTTCACATGTATATCACTCTGACAAGCTCAACCAAACATGAAGGTACGCCATTAATCAACCATAACAAGGCCTGCCTGATTTAAAAGGCGTCAAACTCTTTGCAATTATTTTCATTGAAATTCGGAATGCAATCTGCCTAAAAATGGACATAAACGAAACAAAGTCAATGTTTGCCTCGTTATTTGACAATGTTTTTTAGATTGTATAATTCTCATTTTTTTATATTCATTGTTTACGGTTCGTTTCATATTTCCGACAAACGGATGGCCTCTACGACTCATTTTTATAAAATGCCCACACACAACAACAAACATCAATAATTAATGCTTGCAGCTAGAAACTTCACATTGTCACTATTCCATTTGAAATGTTATACACTTGATAAGCTTCTCAAAAATCATGCCATTTGCCTTTAGAATCACACTGTACCCAAACCAAAATATTAAGTGCAATGGCAGATATTTCTTTCCAGCGTTTCC